CATTTCCTCAAATTATTACGAAAAAATTATGCTTCCAGCTTTTTATTTTTTGGTATTTTTCTTCACTTCTTCTATTGCACTCGACAATCTGCCACCGGGACATATTCGTCATGGCATGCTTCATGAGTTCCTACAAGAACACAGTGCAGGCTTGGCAGCTGCTAATATTAAAAAGATATATGGGAAGGAATCACCTTCCCGAAAGAATGTCTCGAGTATGGTTTGCCAAGTTTCGATCTGGGGAAAAATCTTTGAAAGAAGCAGAGGAGCGGCACCCCAACTGGATGATTCCAAATTACTCGAACTCATTACCAAACTCGAACTCATCGGGTATCATCGCGTGAATTGGGAGAAAAGCTAGGGGTTGATCATGCTACAGTGCTAAGTCACCTTCATACCCTTGGATTTAAATCGAATTTAAATCGAACAGCGATCAGTGGACATCACCTCCATCACCTCCATCTCTCACAATACGAAAGGAAATCCTTTCTTCCTCGAATTGTGACAGGAGATGAGAAATGGGTTTTATCTGTGAACTTTCAGAGGAAGTGGCAAAGGGTGCGGCCAGGTTTCTTCACTTCTTTTCTTCTTCAGTTATTTCTTCAGTTATTCCAGCGTAGGTAACTTCTCAAGCTTCAGTCTCTTGTTGTCAGTCTCTTGAGTCGCTTGTCTCTGGCTTTAAATGAAAGCACAAAAAGAAACATAAAGACTTTCAATAATTGAAAGAATGAATAGAAACGAATCATCTTGTCCCAAAGGTATTTCTTCTTTCCTTCAAATTCCTTGTTCTTGTTCTTATTCTTATTCTTGTTGTTCCTTGTCTCCCCCCATTCTCTTCTCATTCCGTATTCTGTTCCGCCCCACCTTGCCCTCCACTGCTCACAATAGAGACTAAACCTATAATTTCCTTCTTTCGTTGAACGGGAAACAATTCATCCCTATTCACTGAAAATCCCCTTTCTTTTACCTACTCATAAATTTGCAATCATTCTGCTTTAACAAATTTACTCAATCTTAAATTTGAGACTAAATCTTTCACTTGCCGATGTTTCTAAATGCCGATCGCTTGTTTCTAAATGAGATTTTAAATAAGCTAACATTTAAAGCTAACATTTAGTGTTTTAAAGAAAAGCTTGTTGTTCTTATAGAATCACAGTTTTGTTAGAAGCAGTTTTGTTTAACAGCTTTAAGCTATTAACAAGTGATTGATTATCTTTTCAAACGACGCTTGTTTCTCTTGTTTTATCATATTCTTTAACAGCCTTTAGCCTTTGGGAGAAACTTTCAATCCATCCAATTACTCTAGCATAACTATTCTCTTGTCCAATTCTTGTCCAATTCTTGTCGAATTCTTCTCCAATTCTTGTCCAATTCTTGTCCAATTCTTGTCCAATTCGTGTCTAATTCTTGTCGAATTCTTGTCGAATTCTTCTCCAATTCTTGTCCAATTCTTGTTCAATTCTTATCCAATTCTTCTCCAATTCTTCTCCAATTCTACAGAAGTAGTAGTTTTTCATTACGTCATAGGTTACATTTGCATTTTATTGAACTGAGGTGTGAGAGTGGAGGAGTAGAGGGTGTGGAAAGAGGCAATATAATGGAAAAGAGATGGATCCAAAAGAGCCAAAAGATTCAGAGAGTAGTCGAGTGTTTGTGTGTGTGGATGAGTCCATGAGTGGAAGTGAGTGAGATGTATAGGTGGGTGTAGGTGTAGGTGCAAAGAATCCCTTTGCCTCTTTCCATCGCAACATTGAAAGACCACCATTTCCCCTGAAAAGGGTATTTTCATTCACCATTCACACAATTGCCTACTCGATTTCTTTCATCTCTTTCTCCCTTTTTCCATTCTCACCATTTTATTTCACCTCACCAGTTTTTCGTTATCGATCTCTGTAATTACCGGCTTGAAAGCTGGCAATTCAAGAATCTCTAGATCTATTTGAGATTCTTGAATTGTCAGCTGCTAAGCCGCTTTGTGCCAGCTGCTAAGCTGCTAAGCCGCTTTGATTAATCATGATTTGAAACAAAGAATGCCTTTGCTTTTCTCTGCCACTTGTTTAGCTCATTTTTTCATTATTAATTGATTCTAAAACTCGATTCTAGTTAAAGCACAAAAGATGAACTTTTTTTTAAAAATCTCCTCTTCCAACAAACTATTGATTTCCAGAGAAAAAACGAGAAATTCCTATGAGTTTCTCTCAAAATTTTCGATCATTTTGACCGCTTAGTCTTCTTTTACCGTCTTTTCCCAAAATTCTTTCATCAATTCGAGTGTATGTTGCACATTTTGTCAAACGAGTGAGGCAATTCTTTCTCTACTCAATCTGATGTATTTGGGGGGCATCGAATGGATGGAGAGTTATTTGTTCAACAGTTGCACACACCTTTTAGCCATCCCCTTTTCTCTCCTCTCTCTCTCTCTTCATATTTCCTCATTTATAGATTTATGAGCTCTTTTGAAATAGTGCTAAATTCGAGTAACAATACCATATTTTCTCTAATAACATCAAAAGCTTTGCCTAAATTCCTCGAAATCTCGAAAAGCGCCTATCAGAACCTATTGATGTGAGGTCGGAAAATGTAGCTGACGATGAGATCTAGTGGGGGATTGGAGGGTTGAGCTTCTGTGACAAACTTGAAAACAGTAAAATAGTCATCAACTCGGCTCACCGGGGTGCACTACTATTAGAGAAAATACGGTAATAGCTCTGGATTTAGCTCTACTATTTGGCTGTGATTGGGTGCACTACTTAGCTATGATTTGTCTATGATTTAATCCTCATGATCTCACCAATATCTCTTTTCGGAAACTGCCATATTATTGAATACAGCTTATTTGATGTCATGGAAAAAAAATGGATGCTGTATTTTCCCTAATAATAATGCAACCTAAGCGTCGCCTAAATTCCTCGAAATCTCGAAAAGCGCTTATCAGAACCTATTGATGTGAGGTCGGAAAATGTAGCTGACGATGAGATCTAGTGAGGGATTTGAGTGTTGAGTTTCTGTGACAAACTTGGAAATAGTAAAATCGCCACCAACTCGGCTCGCCGGGGTGCACTACTGAATTTAGAGTTTTCTTACCGTAAATACTGTAATTGGACCCCACCCCCATAATGACGGTGCGGAGTTTTGCGTAGTCTAGCTTTGAACGAGTTTTTCTCGACACTGGTTTATGCTACAATGCGCGCTTAGGTATCAAAAAAAAGCTGAAATTCAGGGCTATTTTTTGATACCAAAGACGCATTTTTTTGAAAGTACGAGCGCCTTGAAAAACAATGAAATAATAAAAACATTTGCGACTACGCGACTGTACGATGTGGGTGGGGTACTATTACAGTATTTACGGTAGAAATTTCATTTAACTCAACAAAAACATTTGGGCAAAAATTTTCATTCGTTATTTTTACGATTACAAATTGCCGAACGGGTTTTTTTAAAAAGGTTTACAGAAAAAAACTTTGCATTCAATTTCAAGCGATCAACCGTTACCTTTTACTCTTTTTATCACATAACTTTGTACTCAAAATGTTATTCTAGCTGGCGTGGCTCATAAGCGCTTGTTGGCTCTTGTTTTTCGATTGTAATTGCTAAAATCATTCTATAGCTCCTTTGATTCTTCAGATACTTCAGATATCTGAAGATCATTTGTTTTTTTTCAAATTCTTGTTTAGTGCCTAGTAAAATATTAGAATTCTCTAGGTTTTGCACTGTTCAATTTCATTGTAGTGTCATTGTTGCAGCAATTCTTGGCTAAAGAAAGTCTTCTCAATCTCCATTAATCATTCGTGGAATGACAAATGCTTTTCTTATGTTTTTTTGTGTTTTTTCTTGGCTCAAGCTTTCGAAAAATCTGTCAAAATGTCGATAGATTGATGGGAGATTGAAAAGAAAGAGAAGAGAAAATGGAAAAGAAAAAAAAATGCAACTTTTCTGAAGGAACAGCTGACAATTGTTGGTTTTTTTAGGGTTTTCCATTCTTGATTTATTCTATTATTTTTTCTACGAGTCACACTTTGGCTTTTCGTGGTTTTATTTGATTCTTTTATCTCGCTTTACTTTGTATTGTTTTTATTTGAGTCTTTTATCTCGCTTTACACTCTTTCTAGAGTTATTTCTGTAATTTTCTTGCAGAAACGAATTCTTTCACGAGAAAACTAACAATTTCAGTCAACTAGAAAGCTCTTTTGCTCTTTTGCTTTACTTTTAAACATAAAGTACACTATTAGAAATCAATTTTGAGCTTAGCTTGGGGGTGGGACAAATGCGACCTTTTTTTTGCGCACCTGGACATTTGCGCACCTTTTTTTGCTGCAAAGGCCTTAGGCAAGGCCGTAGAGCTTCGAAAATATTTCCATATAAGGGAATCGTATGCGTAGATTCCGAATTTCGACAAATCAGACCTCGCTGACACGTCAAATTTGGGCTAAAAGGCAAAAACTGCGGAATAACGCGTTTTCCGCAGTTTTTGCCTTTTAGCCCAAATTTGACGTGTCAGCGAGGTCTGATTTGTCGAAATTCGGAATCTACGCATACGATTCCCTTATATGGAAATATTTTCGAAGCTCTACGGCCTTTTCCAGCAAAAAAAAGGTGCGCAATGTCCAGGTGCGCAAAAAAAAGGTCGCATTTGTCCCACCCCCCTCTTTCTAGAGTTATTTCTATAATTTTCTTGCAGAAATGAATTCTTTCACGAGAAAACTAACAATTTCAGTCAACTAGAAAGAGTGTGCTTTACTTTTAAACATAAAGTACACTATTAGAAATCAATTTTGACCTTTGTTTAAGTTTTAACCTCAATTTTCATTGCATCTAGTGAAATTTTTGGCACTTTTTTAGTTTTCCCGTCATTTCTAAGCACTTTTTGCTGTGCTATGCGTCATTCCTAAGCCCTTACGTTCGTATTAAACGTATTAAACTTTAAACTTCTTTAATCTCTTTTTTTTCTACTTCATTTTTAATTTTCTTTATGAATTTCAATAATTATTTCATTTTCAGAAATGCGATTGTTACTGTTGAGTTTCTCGTTGTTTATCTGGGGCATTGAAGCTGAGCGACCAAAGGAAAAAGATCAAGCAGGCGTACATTTAGCAAGATTAGCGTGAGTTTTAGAAAATAATTATAATAATAGATTTTTTATGTGTCAATAGATAGATTAATAGATTTGTTCTGTGTTCTTTTATTTATTTGAATATGATTAAAATCTAAACTTTATTAAGTGGTATCAGCTTTTATAGGTTTTGTCTTTGATTATTCTATTAGTTTATCTAGAAAGCTGTCTAGAAAGCTGCTTAAAAAGCTGTCTAGAAAGCTGCTTAGAAGGCTGTCTAGAAAGCTGTCTAGAAAGCTGTCTAGAAAGCTGTCTAGAAAGCTGCCTAGAAAAAGCTGCTTAAAAAGCTGCCTAGAAAGCTGCTTAAAAAGCTGTCTAGAAAGCTGTCTAGAAAGCTGCCTAGAAAGCTGTCTAGAAAGCTGCTTAAAAAGCTGCCTAGAAAGCTGCTTAAAAAGCTGTTTAGAAAATCTTTTCATTTCTTTTAACTAGATTTAAACTTGAACTCATAGTGATAATGATTTTTCACTTAAACTCTTTAGTGACATTGGTGAAGGCTGTGATCGAAGCGCTCAACACGGTTTTGGTATTGTTGACGGTTTTGTCGAGCATTGCGAACGCTACAATGCTGCTCAACTCAATAACTCCTTGCAAGCCGAATATGAGACTTGGAGATGCGCGCATCTTCGGTGTAAGTTTAAAAATAAAATATGAACTTAAAAACTAGCTTTTTCTCTTTCGTGCACTAGAAGTTCTCACCGAATCTAGCGCACTCTACTCAATTTCCAAATTTCAGTGAAAGCTCGATTGACTGATGGTGTCTGTAAATGCACTGCGAATTGGTATGGAGCATTCTGTCATCTCTCATCGCTTTGTGATAAAGGTGCAAACAAGACGAGCAGAGCTTGGTTCAATGGAAAGTGGGTGTAGTCAATTTGGTGATTAATCTCAAGAATTTTTTTGAAATCTAGCCAAATATTGATATTTAGATGTACTCCAAATGCTTGTTATCATGGTGGAGACATCGCTGTAGGCAAAAATATGGTCGAGTGCACGTGTCCGGTTAGTTTTAGAAGAAATCATAGATGTAAATGTTTTTGATGCTTGCAATGAATTTACAGCTATTTTTCTAGGCCAAGCCAGGCTTAATAGCTTTTAACCTAGTCCTAGACCTATTAGAAAGTACGAAAAGGAACGAAAAGACTTTCTGGGCAGCGAATAGAAGGCTGCTCTGCTTGATGGGCTAGAACGAGAACTAGAACCAGGATCTAGATCTAGGCCAGAAGCTAAGCTTGAATCGGGCCGCTGATCCTGCCTGGTTCTAGTGTTCTAGCCCATCAAGCAGACCAGCTAGCCTTTGATCCTTATATCTCTCATATTATAACCAAACTAAAATATCAGAAAAAGGCTCTTTAAAGGTTCCATGGGACGGGCGACACTGTGAGCGGTTGGCGTGCTGGAGGAAGACGCAACAGCGTGCGTTTTTTTAAAGAAATATCTTGTTAATGAATTAGAAATCGTATATAAATTGAATTCTATTGTTTTAAAGAAATATAAGCTTAAAAATTTTAGATAAAAATTCTAAATTCTTATCGAGTATAGAAAAAGGAAGGATTTTAGATTTCGAGAAGCGTTTCCGAAACGTGAACAGCACCGAGTGCATTTGCGGGGATCACTACACGGGAAAGGATTGTGATCAGGTCGAAATTTAATCGAAATTTAATGAAAATTTAGAACATTTATTCTATATTTATTCAGATAACGAATCAAATATTATTATGACAATTTTTAGATTATCAGTTGTTTGCATGGAAATTTCACTCAAGAAGTCGGATATCCGGGAAGGTTGGTTTTGAATAGAAATCTAATGATAGAAATCTGTAAAAGAACTTTCTGACATTAGTTTAAATGCTATTTTAGCTTGAATTTTCTTTAAATTTTCAAGTACTTTTTTCACTTTTAGATGTGACTGCAAGTACGAGTGGTTTGGCGAGATTTGTGATCGCCGAAAGACGTGCACTTTGAACAAGGAAACCAATGAGAAAGTGTACGTTTTTAGGAGGATATGATTGAAAAAAATAGAAAACTTAACAACAACTTTGTTCTATAAAACAAACATATGAATATTCTATAATATTTACTTAAAGCTCTGCAAAAATTGCATAAAAATTGCCCCAACCTCATAAATGGTCTTCGCATTTGGACTCTCGTGTCTTCTCGGTGCAAAATTTGATGCTTCATCCATTCATTGATTTGATTGAGAGTTGAAAGTTGAAAGTGATTTAGAAATGAGATTTCTATATTTAAAATTTAAAATGTAAAGAACTGCTCAAAAGGAAATTAATCAAAATCTAATATTCAAATAAAATCAGTCACAAAAGTTTATTGCTTTTTGGTTGATTTTTAGAGATTTTCGATCTAATTGAAGTAAAAGCCGAAAAATGAAACGACCTGGTTAATGCTGGCTTTTTCTGGTGAGGGTGTTTAAGTCGCGGTGGCGCAATCGGGAGCGTGCGGGTCTATGACCCCGCAGGTTCCCGGTTCGACCCCCAAAGCGCCTCTCAATTTTCATTTTTTTTTTTAAAGGCCATAACTATATTATATTTATTTTCAAAGAGACATACAGACAGACAGACAAGCAGGCAGGCAGACAGACAAGCAGGCAGTCAGGCAGACAGACAGACAGACATACATACATACAGACAGACAGAATAACTTTAGGCATATACTGTAATGAAAGAGGAAACCATCTAGTTGTAGCACTTCGCAGTAGCTGTGATTCTAGCGATATTTTATACGGAAAACTCGAAACACACCCTTTCCGGCGAGCTGATTTCGAGACTTTTTCCTCACCAACACCACAATACCCATTTTTCAGGTGTTCCACCGGAATGGAGACCTCATTCCTCTTCTCATCGCTTCTCTCATTGACCATTTTCTCACTTTTCTTCCGCTCATAATTTACAAATTGTAAATCTCTCTAGGTACAAAAATTGGACATATTTCATCAAAAAAGAAATCTTTCAAGAAGAAATTTCAAATTTCCCCGAAAACCAAATCATTTTCCCCCGTCCATTCCCGGTGAATTTTACCCTATCCCAAAGTATTTTTTTTCTCTCTTGCATTTTGTAATTTTCAATTTTTAATCATTTTTGTGGTTTTTTCTATGATCACCTTGTATTTTTACTTTTTCCAGCTAGCTTTTCGAGTTAGTCATTCTGAGGGAAAGCTGAAAGAAAAAGGAAAAAGCCATTTTAGCTGCTGCCGACCGGTGGACCTGGTGGCCGAGTGGCTAGCGCGCTCGGTTACCAGACGGGCCACCCCCGGTAGGGTCGAAAATTTTTCTCTTTTCTTCCAGTTTTCCATGCTTTTAGTTTCCCCATCAATATCTAACAATTTTGTCTTCAATTTCCCACATATTTCTCAACGTCTCACTGCCTCTCAGCTAGCTCCAATTTTTCTGAAAAAAAAAAAAATTTTCGAAAAACAAATTATTCAAAAAAAAAAAAAATTCAGATTAATCTCACCAAAAAGCTGCAATTTTTTTTTTAGAAATTCTTTTAGCCAAGAGCTTTGTTTTTTGGTGTAAAATTCAAATAAACTATCAGTTTTTTTTGTGTATTTTTCCGGCAAAAGTTGCTAATAAAACATTTTTTTTCTTAAAATTTATAACAAAAAAGCGTTATAAATGCAAATTTGTAATGAAAAAAATGAAAAAATAACAAGAACCCGATGATTTTGACCAGAAAAATGGGGTTTTTTGATCACATTTTTGATGGGAAATCACAGAGAAATAGGGAAAATTGAGCAAATTAAAAGGGAAAATCGAATAAATTATTAAAATTGGCAAAAAAAGACTAGAAGTGATATGTTTGATTGTTGAAGTGATATTGTAATAAAAAAATTGTTTACAGCTTATTCTTTCAGTTTACTCTTTGAACTCAAAATACGTAAAAAGAACACTTTCTGGCGCAGTGAATCCCTTTGAAAAAAACGAGTTCATATCACGTAAATGATTGCGTAAATTGAGTGCGCCAGAAAGGGTACGTTTGTGATCGACTGTGATCGTTTGTGATCTAGTTAAGCGCATCTCTTCTGGCGCACTCGATTCTTCAAGATACTGTACCAGAAATGGGTTAAAATGGGTTAAAATGAGTCAAAAAGGCTCAAATGTTGAGCCAAAATACACTAGAAAGTGTCAGAAGCTTTAGAAATAAAGTTAAAGCTGTCAGAAGCTAAAGTAAAATCAATGAAAGAAGTGACTAGAAGTGATAATGAATTGACTAACACAAGCAGTAAACTTTCACCTATAAATCGACTAAAAACGAAGCAATTGCTAAAGGTTGACCAAGACGTGAAAGAAGCGAATCTTCTGTGGTTTGCTCACTTCGATGAGTGCCTAAAGTATAGAATTTTTTGGGAAACCTGGAAATCGTTTCAAATTCATTTAAAATCCCCCTTTTAAATGTTATTTTGGAGAAAGATAATGAATTTTTGACCGTTTTAATGAAACAAACCGTAGTTCAATTAATTAAACGGAAATACAAGAAAAAGAAAAACGAAAAAGACTTTCTTGAACAGCCTAATCGTAGCTTTTGAAAAAGGTTAAAGATTAATTTTAAATTTAAATCAAATAAATTAACTGTAGTACTTCAATAGACATTTCAGTCAATCCAGGACTGATCTAGTTTAGATAAACAGGTTTAGTTTAAGACTAGGTAAAGAGAGATTTCAAATTATCCAATTCTCACCCGTTAGCGATGCGTGAAAAACTTCTCCTTTCGATGAGATCCATTTCCAAACGCCTTTCTATAAGAATTTTTCGAATATTGTTACTCAAAAATTTGGTTACTATCAATTTATATATCCTAGATGTCAATTGATCTAACTATTTTCGATTTATAATAATTATTTTCTCTACTTGATCTAGTAGAGCATATCTAGTACGCTTAGTGCAAAAACTATAGCCTAAACAAGATTTTAAACTTAATCTAGACACATGATTTTTAAAGTAGTATATATCCTAGATATCAATTGATGTCAAAATGGGCAGAAGTCGTCAATAATAATGGAAATTATTTGGAATGAATTGATGGTTTTATGTTGAATAAATTTTAGTTCAAAGTCCAGCAGTTTTCAATTCATAATAATTCTACCTGATGCATATCTAGTGTACGCTTAGTGCAAAAACTCTAAGCCTCAAGATTTTAAACTTAAACTAGACATATGATTTTTAAAGTAGTTCAAAGGGTGCATAAAAAGGCGTAGCACAAAAAAAGGCGTAGCACAAAAAGGCCTATTAACCGGATAATATCAAAATTTACATACCAATTGCGAATCTCCACAAGAGAACTCGAATTTCTCATCGAATTTTTCGAATGAGTTTCGCCGTAGGATGACGAGGATCTGAAATCAAGTTTTCGGTTGTTTTGGTTGCTTTTAATCTCAGCTACCGTTTTTTCATCAATAAATCTCGACGAGACGATCTCGATTCCACAATTCCAATCGATTTCTGGGATAGATTGTTGATCGTTGACTAAATTTGAGATCATTTTAATCCTTGCTCAACAATTGTACTGATTTGAAAGCAAGAATCGCAAGAGACTCACCTTCTTTGTTGATTAAAAACACTGCTGGCGGGAAAAGCATTGAGTCAAGGGTGAATTTCCCTTGAATTGAATGACCGGCTTGTGCATTTAACTCGTTCATTGTCGCTCTTTTCTCCATTCGAATTCGATATTTCGGATTAGCTTGTCGATTCTGAAAAAAGTAAATTGAAATTCACAAAGAAAAAAAAGATCATTCAACAATTTTAAAGTTTTCAACTTGTTTTTAACTTGTAGATTTAAATCTACATTCATCTATTTAAATCTATATTCAATTAAATCTATATAATCAAAAAATAAAAGAGATTTGCTGACAATGGTTTCAAGTATTGATGATTGCGTTGCAATGATTCTCAAATGAGATTTAGTGTTAAAAATTTGTGCCCCACGGTTTTCACGGTCGTAGAATCTATTGGCGGTGTTGATTTTAAGCCTTTGTCCCAAGAAAAGTCTCAAGAGAATCAAATTGGCTTTGAGTTTTTGTATATGACAGCTTTTCACACAAGACGTGGATTTCTGAGGAGAACCGGCTTTTCTTTTTGTTTCTTAAACCAGTATCAAATCTATTTTCCCTACCTCCCATGCATCCATCATGCTCAATCCTTTTCCATCTTGTGTTGAGAGTTGTCGATCGGCATGAATCCACAGTTCACCCTTTCTTTTCGACGACATTCCACAAGGTTGACCGGTAAAGACGCTTAGTCGCTTTTTTGAGTCCTAAATTGATAAAATTTATTTTTCCTGATAATATGAAACTCAGAAAATGGTAGTTTAAATGTATTTTATGAATATTTTTTATGAAAATCTCAAGATATCTTTATCATTTTACAGAATTTACCTGAATAAAACCAGCCGTCGGTGTGGCAAAGATATTAGCGGCAAATGGAAGATGACTAAAATCATATATATCTCACAGTTAGATCTCTTTTTTGTGAACTCACTTTTCATAGAATCTCTCAAACATGTACATCGCGTTGATGTCAGTGCTGAAATGGGTTGTATTCTTTTTCTCATCAATGTTCTCGATATCAGTGCGTAGTCGCATAAAAACGTTGTACTTGTCAGGCAGTTTTGGGAGAAGATCGATCTAAATGACAAGAAGAATAGAATTCAGAAGAGATTTTAGTAATTTGAACTTATGAATGTAAACAAACCCTATCTTTTGCACTCTGTTGGCTACAAGAAAAAGCACTTTTGAGAACATTACAGCCTTAGTTTTGTAGATTTGACTCAGCATGGTCATAAGGCCATAAGTATCAAACAAGTTCTAATTGTAAATCTTTTTAAAACAAATCTAGAACTAATTAAGTAATGAATCAAAAAAAAGTGTAGATCAGCTGAAAGTTAAAATGTGATTTCCCAGTGATGAGGTTTAGATGATGAGAGTTTTCACAAACCTCAATAATCTCTTCATAGCCTTGCTTCAATGATTCGTGATTGATTCGAATTAGCTAAAGAAATTTGGATTTGAAGAAATGAAAAATTGTTTCTAGAAAATCTTCAGCTATTATGATTAAAATTCACTTAACGAGCTTACCGTTTTCACGTTCATCAAATCGGAACCGAAAAGCGCGGCGACTTGGGTTTCCAGCGGGCCGTCGACAATGTACTCAATCTCTTTCAGTGTTAAAACCTGAATGAATTCAAAAGTAAATGAATATTAGCTTAATAAATAAGTCTTTTCATTCCTTTTCATATTTTTGTTGAAAAATAACAAATAAACCTATAGTTTTCTCTAAATAAAAAGTGTTTATAGTTCAATTTCTATTTTTTTAAGTCAATTTCGGTTCACTTACAAGCAAATTCGAGAATAAAAACGCGGTTTTCGTAAAAATCTATAAAAATCTCTACAAAGAAATTGGGTGAATGAATTTCTCTAAAAATTTGGCTAATAATTAACCTTTCTAATGAATAAGAAACGTAGTTCAATTGGTGAATTTGTTATTTTTCAACGGATATACGAAAGGAAACGAAAAGAAAAGAAAGGAAACGAAAAGAAAAGAAAAGAAACAAAAGGAAACGAAAAGACTTATTCATTAACTTAATAGAAAAGATATAAAGATATAAAATTGATTTGAAAATTGAAAAATTCACTCACAGACTCTTTCTCGCTTCCCTCAAAAACATAGGCTCCTGCATAATCATCAAAGAGAAGAAAATCAAGAACAAGCGATTTTTGGTCGAAATTTCCCGAAGATGTGATCTAAATTGAATATATTAATTTATAAACTAACTTAAATAAATTTACTGATAATACCTCAATAGTTTTTCCAAAGTTCAAGCTAATCGATCCAAATTTCGTCTTGAAACTCTTTCCATCGAATGTCGCCTCGTAGTGCATCTCGGGATAGGGATTCTTTCTGAAATTTTACTTTGAAAAGGATAAAAAGAAAAAAAAATTGTTTCTAAAGGACTATTATTAGAAAAGAATTAAATGATAAATCTTATAATAGCACAAAATATTTCTCACCTCTCCTGTTGCACATAAATGATCGATTCACTCTCGGGCTCAAGTTTTTCCATTGCACTCAATGTGTACTCAGTGTAGTCCAATGGGTGAAGATGATCGAAGAAAATTACCTAAAGCTGTTTTATCAAAATTCGATACATTTTAGATAGTATTTTGTTTTCTTTGATTGCTTTAACATCTTTCTTTAATAAATCAACATCTTTAACTCTTTTGATACCAATCAAATGATTGGATGAGAACCTTTTTCATAAAAAAAATCGTTGATTGTTGTATTTGTGACAACTTTGCATTGAATTATTCTATAATATTTACATAAAGCTCTGCAAAAATTAAATAAAAGTCGCCCCAACCTCATAAATGGTCTTCGCATTCGGACTCTCGTGTCTTCTTGGCAAAATTTGATGCTTAATCGGACCATTCATTGATTTGATTGAGAGCTGAAATTTTAAAGTGATTTAGAAATGAAATCCGAAGATTTACCATCGGCGATTCAACAGTGAAAGTGATCTTCTGCGCAAATCGTGCGGGTAATGGGTTGAAGACGGAAAGGGTTTGACTGTAAGTTAGAATGGTTTTAGATAACTTTGACATCATTCGACAACTGAAAAGTAAACTAAACTTGCAGCCTATTGTTAAGTTTATCCACTTTATTCAATTCTACGCTTGGTTCTAAGATTCAATTAGGTTGTCCTGAAAATGTTTTCTTTCCTTTTCACACTTTTGTTAAAAAATAACAAATTCACCTCAATTAACCTATGATTTTCTCTAAATAAAAAGTGTTTATTGTTCAATTTGGATCACTTTAATTCAATTCAATGTCTTTCAGTCACTTTTAATGTCTACCAGTTTCAAAAAAAGCTTTTACCTTGTCGCTCCTGTAGTGAAAACATTGACAGCCGGTTGGAGGATATCTTTGTCTGTGGACGGTCGAATTGACTAAAAATCTTTTATGTAAAGTACTGTAAAATATTGCTTTTAATATCTATTAGTAATTAAACAGTTATCTATTTAATAAACACACATTTTTCACTTGTTCATCTTGCACCTTATGGCGTTCTTTGACAAGTCGGCTCTGCTCGTTTAGGATCACCATTGAGGCGTTTCGGAGTCTAAATTAACTCCAGAAACGTTAATTTTTTGAAATCTGTTACAAGACATATTGGATATATAATTATCTAACTTAAATGCAAATTTAAAAATGTTTAATACCCAATACAATTTACCGTTAAGGGTTTAACGGTAACGGTTTTTTTAATAGCCACTTTTAGGCTATTTCTATTTTCCCTGAAGCCATATTTCCAATAAACGTAGAAATGTAGTTCAACTCTTTTTAAACAGCTTATGATATTAGGAATTTAGCCATCACGAGCTTGTTACCGTTAATTACCGTTAATTACAGTTAATTACAGTTAATTACCGTTAATTTTAACGTTAAACATCTCAAATTCCCAACCTGAACAAGTAATCATCCATCACATGAGGCTTGCTCGTACCAGTGATCCCATCATGGTGCTGGAAAAGGGCAACGTCTCTGAAAGTGAAAGCGAATGAAAAACTCAATAATATTGTCTAAATTTGCATATAAAAATAGCATCTTTAACCTTCTTGCAAGTTGCAAAATCTCCAAATTCTTCAAATCATTAGCACCGACTTTCATCAAATCGAGCGCGGCGAGTTGACCCTAAAAATTGTTATGAAATTTCTTTTTAAGCTAATATCTTTCAAAACTATAATAACTGCAAATATTTTTTTCAGTTATAGGAAGAGCTATAACTGAAATACAAACCAACCATCAGCAATCTCTCGGTTCGTTTGTGATGGGGTCGATGCGTGAAATACCCAGTCCAGTATTTATTCGGATTGTTGAGCTTCTCTGGAATAGAATAGGTAACACAATACGATAGCTTTTAAAAGCTGGCACATTTTAAAAAGCTCTGAACTCACCCAAATACGGGAAAAAGTCTCCGGTGAGTGCTGGGATGATCTCTTGCGAGTCCAGCGCCTCAAAGTATTCAGTGACCGTTGAGAAAAAAGCCTAAACCTTTTATTGATGACACTTTAGCTAAATAAAGCGATCATTTTGTCTATAGATAAAAGATAGATCATAAAAAGTTAGGTATATAGCTGAATGTTCAAAGAAATTCATTCACCCAATTTCTTTATCGAGATTTTTCTGAAAACCGCGTTTTTATTCTCGAATTTGCCTGTAAGTAAACGAAAATTGACTTAAAAAAGATCGAAATTAAACTATAAACACTTTTTATTAAAAGAAAAAGAGAAATTTAGAGGTTATTTGTGGTGAATTTGTTATTTTTCAACGAAAGAATGAAAAGATTTTTCTAGATAGCCAAATAATTATACTATAGGATAGCCAAACACTTATATTATACTACTTATCAAGAAAAATTCAATTTATCCAATGTCTACATCATTTCACCATTCAAAGTATTCACCTTAACATTGTAATTCCCTCCATTGATCACTTCCAATAGTTCACCCCACGATTCAGCCACCACTTCCCAATCTCTTTTGTCCGATAGATAGAAATCATCGCCAACCGGGATCAAGATCTAAAAGTTGATTGTTTGAAGAGTAAAAATATTTAGCTAACCTTTTCCAGCCCATAAACGTCTTGTGTCATTTTCCACTGATTGACGAGTTTTTCGGCACTGAAATCAAGAAGATTTCTTGGTAATGAGAAATTAAAATGACTTACTAGGCTCTCATTTGCTCTGTTTGATTACGATAACGATTGATACCACCCGGGCACGCGAAATATCCAACTGATGGTCCAACTTGGCCTTGGCAACAGATCTGTAAAGGGGAATGCAGTTGTAAGAATGATTTTGAGCACAATGCTTTTGCTAGATGGCTTTCGATTTGAGCAAAGAACATCGTACAGACTATCGTTAGCGCATAATAGAAAATAGACTACTCCAAGCAACTATAGAAATGCTAATATTTCTATAACCAACTGTACTAGATGGCTAGCGATTGTGCGCGAGCAGAGAACACGAGCTAGAGGATGAAAAGCGCTTTTTTAACTTTACTTTACTTTAAGGAGTACTTTGAATCTACTTTAGAAGCTATAATCTACTTTAGAAGCTATAAAAATCAAGTATTACCAAATTCTTACATAAATTTCCAACCTGTTCATCGGGTCCACATGCATTCCGTGTCGTGTAATAAAGATAGGGTAAAGTGTGCACGAAAGGAGCCGGATTAAACTAAAAACTATTAATATTACAGTAAATCAGAAATGGTTTGTAGGTTTGTTCCGGACTAGCACAAAGTAAGCAAAGTTCTTTTTTACCTTCTCATCTCCATACGGCTGTTTCCATCTCCATTGCAGTGAGCGATGTCCGCGCATCTCTTTCTTCAGCTCGTCATTCAACCGTCCGACCACCATGTTCTGAATACCTAAAATCAAATAGTACTATACTTAAAACAGAAATCACATCAATAAAATCAAATAGAACAATTTTAAATTGCTCAAACCTGATAAACTGTTCAAAAGTGGCATCATAAGTCCATGTCCAAACGGGTCGACTGACCTAAAAATTGAGTGTTCTGACTAGGGAACTGTTTCATCGATTTGGAAAATGAGATCTAGCGCAGAAACATCATCTTAAAATTCTAAGGGATATGTGTTTTTCACTTTTACTCCATAGAATCCAATTTTCGAGAAAAATGCTTTTAAAGTTTGAGCACTTTTTGGAAAAACGGCGCCGCCGCGATATAGAGCCGAATTACTTTCCTCCTGCAAGTGACCGAATGGTGTAGCGGATAGTGCTAACCCTTCGCGCTTCTTGGTTCGAATCCCCTCCCTGCCAAAATCTTTTTGTTAAAGCACTAAAACCAATTTAAAGTGTCTATAAACGGAAAGAAGCTAAATAGGGCTCCTGGAAATGGCTGAAAACAACTTTTAGTGATCACAAAAGAATATCATCTTTCACAAGCAAAAACCTAGTTTTTAACCAACTAGAATTGTTATTTTTGTGAGAAATATCATATTTGGATCTTATAGTGCAAAATTTTTCCTAGTTAAATGCTGTGTACTTCTTAAGATTCTTGGAATCATTTTATAAATTAACGATTCTAATTAAGCGCACAAACCAGCTCGTTGTCGGCGTGACATTGAGAAGTTTCTTGATAAAAGTTTGTCCTTCGATCATATTATCGATTGTCGAATGGAAATGGGGAGTCGCTTCGTCTGAAAAGTGAAAGAAGAATTGATCAAAAGAATGAATTTGAAAAAGGATTTGAAATTTAAGATTTGAAACAGGATTTGAAACAGGATTTGAAACATTATACTTTGTTTCCTGTTGTCTGTTGCATTTCTGAAAGCTACAGAAAGCTCTAAAAGTCAACTCTATTATCCATCTATTATTATTCGTAAATAGTTTTTTAAAAAGCAAAAAAGTTTGAGTGGGACTCGAGCTACGGAGCACAAATAGTAACAGGTTTAGTAGTCTAATAGACTATCTAATAGACTATCCACTAAACCACTGAAGCAACTGTTAGGGGAGTTTTATAAAAGGTTATAAACAGATACGATTCTTTGGAAACGATTCTTTTAACTAGACTCTTACTGTCAGCAAGGAAAGGTGACACTTTTCAAGATCTAATTTCTCAAATATTAAACTACCAACCAGTCATCACCCAGCCACCGCCACACAGCTCCAATCGTCCAGAATTCAGAAGCCTAAATGAAACAGTAAAAATTTGCATAAATTAAACGTTTTACAATGTTAAAATACTGACATCGTGAAATTTCCCTTCAATTCCTCGGTCGCATCTTTCCACCATCTCTCCAGAAATGACATTTCCGACCAAATAAATCGTAAATTCACGTTTTTCACTAAACCCTCCACCGCTCCAGTCAAGATCGTTTTCACCTAAAGATTTAGAAATCTCTCTAAACTTTCTCTTGATAAAACCTTCTCATTGTAGTATTCTTCAAAGGTTCGCAGCCAGCCTAAAAGCTTTGTGATGAAAAGCACAGCAAAAATAGCACTTCTATATACCACTATCAATTAGAAAAAAACAATTTCATTTACCTGGATCAATATGCGAATGAAGTAGAAGATGTACAATAAGTTTCTTATTCTTTGGTGTTTTCGGTGGCTCTTTGAAAGTCAAGTTGTGACCGTTTACCTAAAATTGATTGATTGCACCGGCATGATATTATTAATTATCAAATAAACTTACCCAAATGCTCGCATTAGTGAAGCTAAGCGTTTGATAGAGATTTTCATCGAATGGCTCATTCGGGAGATCACTGACAGCATTAATTTCGAATGGAGGCCTCTCATCGTTACCGAATGGGATCGGCAATAATCTCTGAACAATTTCGTACAGCCTACTGAAGCCTATTGAAGCCTATCGAGCTCTACAGTTCTCTAGAAGATCACCGACAACATTAACAATGGTAAGGTAGTACGATAGAGGTTTGGTAAACGCAAACTCTAGCCAAAAGCTTAGTTAAATTTTAAATTTTAAGAAAAAGACCTCACCTGAAAATACTTCTGTGTGGTGACGACTTTCTGCGATTCAAAGTAAAGAATGACGAGAAAAGCAGTGAATAGAACGAGAAGAAGTTGCGGGGAAGAAAGCCATGAAATAAGAGAAGAAATGGAAAATGGAGGGGAACGAAGGGAGATCCCACCCATCATACGAGACCATCCCATTGAAGTGATGGGAGGAGAGGACAAGGGAAGGATCGGCTCTGTAATCCGTAATCAAATTGAGGTAGATGTTAAAGACAAAAAGATGAACGATAGACGAGACAGAATACTCAGGCTAAACTTTGTAAGATTTAATACAACATCTCATTCGAGTGATTTAGACTAGAAATGGGAAAATTCCAACCCGAACCAAATTTCACCTTCGTTTTCTTGACCAATTGCTCTAAAATTTTGTCTACAATCAGAGAATGCTAATATCTATTTGTAAACAAGAACTGATCAAAATCAAAAAGCATCAAAAAGCATCAGAAAGCATCAAAAATCATCAAAAAGCATCAGAAAGCATCAAAAAGCATCAAAAACTGCACCTAATAAACTGGTTTAAGCCTTGAAAAGGTCAGAAACAGAATTTCAAATCAATTTTTGCATTTCAAAATCTCCAAGTCTTCTTTTAGAAGAAAGAATCCATGGAGATTCTTGAGAGATCTTTTTCAAAAGAAAAATAGGGACTATTTTGGAAGTGTCATCGTTGATGGAGGGGGAGATCTTTCAAAAGAAACCCATAACAAATACAAAGAGAAAAAAGGGAAATCCATTGAACAAACATAGAAACAACATAAAAGATTGATATGTCAATTGCACTCAAAAAGGTTAAAGGTTTTAATAAGAATGTGCTCCTTGACGTTTTCTAAAACTTGTCAACTTTCAAAAGCTATCATAATCTTGTCAAGTTTTATTTAATTTGTCGACCTTTTATCTTTCTAAATCTTCTAGAACTCTAAAATTAGATCAAATATCAATAGAATGAATCAATAGAATGAAAACTAGAGTCAAGATAAAGATAGCTTTCGAAAGTTGACAAATTTTAGAAAACGCATCATGAACTTTTTTTGCTTGAGTCAAATCCACTTAAAAGCTTAGATAAAATATGCTTTTTTCGATTGATCTAAACTTTTAAAACATTTAATAACAACAAAACAGATTAGACTGTAGTTTACCCCTCTCTAATAACATCAAAAGCTTTGCCTAAATTCCTCAAAATCTCGAGAACCGCTTATCGCTTATCAGAACCTATCGATGTGGGGTCGGAAAATGTAGCTGACAATGAGATCTAGTGGGGCATTTGAGTGTTGAGCTTCTGCAAAAGCTTCGACAGCCGTAAAATCGTCGTCAACTCGGCTCGGCACTACTATTAGAGAAAATACGATAGTCAAATTTGATGCGTTTACTTGGAACAGACTAGTCAGGAGAGAAGGATATTGTGACTGAACCCTTGAATACAGCTTATTTGATGTCACGGAAAAAAATGGGTGCTGTATTTTCCCTAATAGTAGTGCACCCAAAGCTTCGCCTAAATTCCTCGAAATCTCAAAACCCGCTTATCAGAACCTATCGATGTGGGATCGGAAAATGTAGCTGACGATGAGATCTAGTGGGGGATTTGAGTGTTGAGTTTCTGTGAAAACTTTGAAAGCCGTAAAATCGTCACCAACTCGGCTCGCCGGGGTGCACTACTATTAGAGAGAATACGGTATATTTGGAATGAGCATAAAGTTCTGCGTCGAATGGTATAGGTTGCATAGCATTTGACCGGCTCAACCCTCCCTTGTCCATTAAATATCTTCGCCATCCACCGTATTCTCTCCAATATTAGTGCACCCAAAGCTTCGCCTAAATTCCTCGAAATCTCGAGAACCGCTTATCAGAACCTATCGATGTGGGATCGGAAAATGTAGCTGACGATGAGATCTAGTGGGGGATTTGAGTGTTGAGTTTCTGTGAAAACTTTGAAAGCCGTAAAATCGTCACCAACTCGGCTCGCCGGGGTGCACTACTATTAGAGAAAATACGGTATAAAACTTTTTTTTGAAATCCATTTGACTGAATTTTTTCAAATTCATTTTTTTCTTTTTTGAAATTTAAAAGATTCGATTTACAATCATGCTTTTTCGGAAACAGAAATTTTCAAAAAAAATGTGCGATGCTCAGCTAAGCTTGTTCCGAAAACTTCTTTAAAAGATTTTAAGCCAAAAATTTCATTTACAAGTCGATAATTATGATCGAAAATTAGTAGGCTTAGTCTAAAAGTGTTTTGTTTTTAAAGTCTGAAATCTGAAAGTCAAATACAAAGTCTGAAATCGTGATTGGCTTGAATTTGAATGGAAAATCTGGGAGAGTTGAATATTTTGAAAAATAGAGTAGACAGAATTTTTCAACAAAAAAAAAAATCATTACTAAAAAATGGGTGTGAGCATAAATCGGAAAGGGATTGGCTGTGATCCCCAATTTCGATTCAAACACAATGAACTTTTTCCCAATGAGAAAGCATTTGAAAAAAGATATTCAGCTAAAAAATTGTCTATTTTTTGGGCTTTTCATTTTGTGTAAATTTAAAATCGAAACGTGAAAAAGCCAAAAAAAATGCAGATTTCCATTTTAATCAGTGCAAAAAACGATGTTTTCCATTGGCTTTACTTTCTTTTTTTTAAAAATATGAACCATTCTGTTGTTAGATAAAATCCTGTAATCCTCTAGTGTACTGGGTAAATTTATTTACCGTAAATCCTGCAATAGTACCCCACCCCTGTCGTACAGTCGCGTAGTCGCAAGTCGCAAAAGTTTTTTAGTATTTCATTTTGTTTCAAAACGCTCGTACTTTCAAAAATGCGTCTTTGCTATCAAAAAATAGCCCTGAATTTCAGCTTTTTTTTGCTACCTAAGCGCGCATTGTAGCATAAACCAGTGTCGAGAAAAACTCGTTCAAAGCTAGACTACACAACACTCTGCACCGTCATTATGGGATCCAATTACAGTATTTACGGTATGTATTTTGTACTCAAGAGTTGAAAGAATCCTTCTAGTGCACTGGATTCATTAAATTTCTAGAAGCGACGGCTGTTTTCACAAGAACTGTTTTCAGAAAAACGTTCAACAGATTGAAATCAATTTGATTTCAGTTCAACAGATTGAAAATCGAAAATCTCGCTTAAAAGCTATAAAAAATGTCAGATTTTGTAAAAATTAACGATTGAAACATAAAAAAAAAGAATTCTCAAGCGATTAGAATTTTGCGATTTTTGCGGGGATGACAGCTGGCTAAACTGACCGTAAAAGAGGATTTTTGGCTGCAGAAACAAGATTTTCGATTTGCTCAAAAGCCATGTATAAAAAAGGATAAAAATCTGATTTATTTGAAAAACTAAATGAGGGTAACATTTGAAAGAACATTGTTTTAAAGGATTTAAATTGTTTTAAATTGTACCTTAAAAGTTATAAGCACATTGAATGGCAAGGCTTGGCACATCATGAGAGAATACCGTATTTCTTCGAATAGAAGACCGGGTAAAGAGTATCACCGTGTACTCCTGCGTACTCCTGCGTACTCCTGCGTAGCAGCCCTTTTCAAAATTTCTTTTCTGCATAAAAGCTTTCAATGAAGTGCTATAGAGCTGGAAAATGGCTCAAAAATATGTTAGCTCATGTGGTATTTTTGAGCCATTTTCCAGCCCTATAGCACTTCATTGAAAGCTTTTATGCAGAAAAGAAATTTTAAAAAGGGGTGCTACGCAGGAGTACACGATGATACTCTTTACCCGGTCTTCTATTCGAAGAAATACGGCATCATCGACTCCCAACTCCGCTAAATGTTAAGCAATAATGTTAAGCAACTTTTCAATAGTTTTTCTAATTCTTTTCAAAATAGTTGCTACAAAATGACATCTTAATCTAATTGTAAGCGCAGTTTTGAGAGATTGAACTTAGACAAGGGAAAATGTGATGAATCTGAACATAGACAAATGATCTTTAGCACTTAGACAAGCGAACGATTGCAATTTTTAGAGTTATCAAATTTTAAATAAGCTAATAGACATTTAAATAAGCTAACAGACATTTAAATAAGTTAAATATGCTAATTTTAAATACCGTATTCTCTCTAATAGTAGTGCGCACTACTATTTTTTCAACCCCCTCTCGGACCGCAATACTATTAGAGAGTGCAATACTATTAGAGAGTGCAATACTAATAGAGAGAATACGGTAAGCTAAGACAGTTAAAATCTAAATAAGCTAAAAGACAAATTTCTAAATGTTAAATAAATATTAGATAAGTTTTAAATAAGCTAAAAGTCTGCTAGAAAAGTCTAATTATAATAATTCTTATAAATTCAATAATTCTTACACATTACACTAAAAATTAAACATAAAAAGATAAAAATAAAGGTGTTGTCGAAAAGATTCAAGCTTCAGCTCTAGGTTCAACGTGGCTTTCCCTCAAAAAGATGACGATTTTACAGAGAAAATGGAAAAAGAGCAATGATAAAAGCTATTTGAATGGGTTGGGAGTGACTTACACGTCTTCTTTTGATGGAAAGAGGAATCCTTGTGATTCAAAGAGAGAAAGAAGAGAGCTCTTCCTTATCTTTTCATTTCTTGTATCGATTTGCGGAGAGATTTTACTATCTCTTCAAGAAAAATTGAAATTCAATGAGCTGAACCTTCACTTTTCAAGTTCAACAAAGTTGAATTGTACTTTTCTATAACCGAATTTAATGAGGATCATTTTAAAACCAACCTCAAGCCGTTCTGATCACTGGGAGTCGAGATATAGCTCCGAGCTTCGCCCAAGCTCCGAGCTTCGCCCAAGCTCCGAGCTTCGCCCAAGCTCCGAGCTTCGCCCAAGCTCCGAGCTTCGCCCAAGCTCCGAGCTTCGCCCAAGCTCCGAGCTTCGCCCAAGCCCGAGCTTCGCCCAAGCCCGAGCTTCGCCCAAGCCCGAGCTTCGCCCAAGCCCGAGCTTCGCCCAAGCCCGAGCTTCGCCCAACCCGAGCTCGCCAAGCCCGAGCTTCGCCCAAGCCCGAGCTTCGCCCAAGCCCGAGTTCGCCCAAGCCCGAGATTCGCCCAAGCTCCGAGATTCGCCCAAGCCCGAGATTCGCCCAAGCCCGAGATTCGCCCAAGCCCGAGATTCGCCCAAGCCCGAGATTCGCCCAAGCCCGAGATTCGCCCAAGCTCCGAGATTCGCCCAAGCTCCGAGATTCGCCCAAGCTCCGAGATTCGCCCAAGCTCCGAGATTCGCCCAAGCTCCGAGATTCGCCCAAGCTCCGAGATTCGCCCAAGCTCCGAGATTCGTCACGGAATTTGGAAGTTCAACTTTGATCCAATTGTTGCTAACTTTTTGAATGTATAATTTGTTTTCTTAAAATATTGTAAAGGCCAATTTGAAGTTCTTGCTAGATGACGCCAGGGTTTGGTCTTTATTCCAGTCTTAACATGTCCATTGTCCTGAAAAATTCTTTGAGACAGTTCTGACAGTAGAGAGTCAATATTTTTCTATTGTTCACCCTTCCCTCTGTAGGTTTTGCCGTACTTTATGCTGAAAAACAAAAACGCATCCTTTCTGGCGAATTCAATTCACATTTTCTCGTGAAACCAGGTCGTTTCTGCAAGGAAATCAAGAATTGCATGCACTACAGAGTGTTCAAAAGAAACCCAGTTTCCCTTGATTTCCCAAAAAATTTCTGGTGGCTCCTGATGGTCGTTGTGGTGCGGAAGTGAATATTTTGAGCTGAAAAATTTTATTGATATTGATATTGATATTGGTTTATTGATTTTTTTTTCACTCTTTCCCGATTACATGACTCCGCAATACATGAAATTTCTGAGCCATCACGGTCACGACCACCATCTGAGCCACCACCATGAGATTTTTGCTATAAAATTAAAACTTTCTACTGACATCGTGGTGTCATAGAGTTAGAGTTCATATATAAACTAAGATTTTTCAGCCAAACACTTTATTCATCAAATTTTATGATACATAAGAGATTTTATGGAGTCTAGAAGGGGAAGGGGCTGCGGCCTTTCCCGTCCGATCTTGGCAGATTTAGTTAAGCAACGTCGGCGAGGGGATAGTGGGTTCGACTTTTGTGGATTCCCCTCCGAGCGCCCTAGTCCGGCGATCTCTCTATTTCTTGCTATTTTTTTTCCAGTTTTTCCTATCTGATTCTGACTATTTGTCTTTGCGCAAAAATCCCCAAAACAGAAGCATTTCAAAATCGCTGAAAAGCCGAATTTAGAACAAAGATTTATCTTTCTAATGGTACAAAGCGAATTAATCTTAATAGCTTTCTATTTAATGAAACTGGGATCTGGGGTAGGCTACTTTCCGTAACTTTTTTTGCGCCACAGGGTTATTTGCACAACTGGGTCATTTGCGCAACTCGCCATAACTTTCTTCTAAGTCAGCCAATCTTTATGATGTTGGTTTCATTTTGTAGATCTCAATAAGTGCAACAAAATGACATTAAAATCATAAAGATTGGCCGACTTAGAAGAAAGTTATGGCGAGTTGCGCAAAAATAAAAACGACGGATATAAGCCTATCCCCAAAGATTCCCTTGTATTGTGCATTTGTCTTTTGACTTACTAATAAATTTATTGAAGGCTCCCCTCTTATCAGCACCGGTAATTAAAAATATGTTAAACTTTTTGGCGGAAAAGCATAAATTTTTAAAAAATTTCACAATGCAAGCGAATTCTAAGCGATTTCAAATAAGCGAATGGTTTTTTTTCTAAAAATATAATTGAAGCAAAGATTTTAGTGGAAAAATTGGAGTCCAATGAGCTAGGAAAGGAGCAAAATATTGTGGCAAGTAAAGAAAAAAAAAGTAAAGCTGTTTCTTGTAAGGCATCTAGTGTCATATAAAACTGAATGTAATATAAAATGTAAATGTAAATGTAAGAGTAAGGCTAGATACTTTTCTGTACTTAAACTTATCTATTAACTATCTAAATATCGAATATCTCAAGAAAATCAATCAAGTTGTCCAATTGGCGCGTTTTGAAGCCAAATCGAATGCAAGAAGTTGTAGAGACGCTCGGAGACGGAGACCTGGAAAAGGATTATGACTTTGAAGGTATTGATAGATTAGATATTATATTCAAATATTGTTATAAAGATATTCAGTTAAATAAGACAGATAAAGATATTTAAAATTACCGTAAATACTGTAATAGTACCCCACCCCCTTCGTACAGTCGCGTAGTCGCAAACGTTTTTTAGTATTTCATTTTGTTTCAAAGCGCTCGTACTTTCAAAAAATGCCTCTTTGGTATCAAAAAATAGCCCTGAATTTCAGCTTTTTTTTGACACCTAAGCGCGCATTGTAGCATAAACCAGTGTCGAGAAAAACTCGTTCAAAGCTAGACTACGCAACACTCTGCACCGTCATTATGGGGGTGGGGTCCAATTACAGTATTTATGGTATGTATTTTGTACTCAAGAGTTGAAAGAATCCTTCTAGTGCACTGGATTCATCAAATTTCTAGAAGCGTATCGGGTTTTGAATGCGAATTTTTCGCAAAAATATTTTTTCCAAGAGAACAAAGCTATTAAAATTCGTTTTTTTTTCTACCATTAGAAAGATAAATCTGTGCTCTACATTAGGCTTTTCAGCCTTTTTCAAAAGCTTTAGTTTTGGCAATTTTTCAAGGATCCAAAGACAAGTAGTCAAAATCGTTAAAAATCGTTCCGTTGAGAACTTTTTCAATCGAAAGTTAGCATTCATTTTTTTGCTCAAATGAAAGACCAAGCATTTAAACATTTTCATTCAAATTTTCAGCCAAATCCGTTCAGCCGTTGTTTCAATGTTTCAAATTTGTTTCAAATCTTTCAAATTTGTTCGAAAACTCTCTCAAATGAGCAAATACCCTTATTTTTAAAGGCCTACTTCAAATAAACATTCTGAAAAAATAGCTGAACGGATTTGGCTGAAAATTTGCTGACATATGCAAAAAGAGTTGTTCAAAAGTTCAAAAGTAAAAAACATTTCAAATCGATTGCACAAATAAAGTAGTTGTCGACGAGTTTCGATTTTTGACAATTCTGACTATTTGTCTTTACGCCCTCGCAAAAATCCCCAAAACACAGAAGCTTTTCAAAATCGCTAAAAAGCCGAATTTAGAACAAAGATTTCTCTTTCTAATGGTATAAACCGAACTAATCTTAATAGCTTTCTATTTAATGAACGATTTTTTCTCAACTGAACGATTTTTAACGATTTTGACTACGATCCTTGAAAAATTGCCAAAACAAAAGCTTTTCCAAATCGCTAAAAAGCCTAACGTAGAACAAAGATTTATCTTTCTAATGGTACAAACCGAATTAATCTTTATAGCTTTGTTCTCTTGGAAAATTCGCATTCAAAACCCGAAAACCTAATGGATAAAGATAAAGATAGTCAGAAAGAGATTCAGAAACACATTTTCAACGCTAATTTTCTCTATGAAATATTAAATTTTTTAAAGACTGTTTCACCCATCATATAGTCAAGAATGCAAGGAATTTTTTTTTGGTATAAAACTTGAACCAGCTTAATTTTTTGGATTGTGAGAAATTGCGATGTTTTAAGCGTTTTCTATTCGGCGCGGTTCTAGTGCTAGATGCCGCTTTGAAGGTATCAAAAAAACACAATCGATAGAATAATACTATTCTGACTCACTACAGTATGGCAACAAACAATTAGATGATCTAAATATCTTTTAATGAAATCAGTTCTATTTACAGAAAATTGCTATTTTTATCGAACACAGCTAGCTTGAGCTAGATCACTGTAGGGTATTTGTATAGGGTTTAAATCATAGGGTATTTGTATAGGGTTTAAATCATAGGGTATTATATAGGGTTTAAATCATAGGGCAATGTATAGGGTTTAAAACTCAAATTAAGAATTTTACAAAAACGCGAAACCTATATCAGCATGTAATACTTTTAGTGAAACTCTAGTATTTGAAAGCTCAAGAGTATCGTTAAGTTTTTGAAAACGAACTTTGTACGGTGTGGGATTGAGCTGCCGTTTGTGATCGTTTCTCAAGCGATCGAGCTCCACTCTAACGTGAGTCTAAAAGTCCATTCAGTTCATTCAGAGATTCCCATTCAAAGTTTACAGTTAAACATTGATACTTCTAAATATCATACCCGTATATCAGCCAATGTTGGCAAATCGTATTGAATTTTGCCGTCTCCCCAGAAAAGTTTGTGCAGCGGTTCGACTCGAGACGGCAAGACGAGAGCTCGTTTGCTTTCCTGAAAGATTTTCGCGATTACTAGTCAAATAGGGGAAATATCAGGCTTAATCTACAGCTAAATATCGTTAGGAATCTATGAAAAATTAGTCGTTGAACTAGAGAACCACAAGAACTTGATTGGCATTATGTTCTTGTTACTCTTATCTCCGCAAATGTACATACAAATGTAAACTGAGTATTGTATATGTTCTTAAATTAAGTGAATATAAATTAGAGCTTGTGTTTCTTTGAAAAAAACTAGAAATAAGTTTGTTTTATTGTTTTGTAAAGTTCACTAACCTCAAATGGATGTCTACACAAAATTTGGTGGCCAGCTTCAGGAGGTTTCTCGTCGTGAAGTAGCAGAATATCGAGAATCGAAGAGCCGGATCTACCGTAAATCCTAGAAAGTTGCATATATTTTGATTTTCGTATCTACTTTGTACTTTTCTTTTCATTCTCACCTATAACACATTTTCCTGCCAGGAATCGAAATCTTGGCCACCTCCTGTGAAAGCTTGATCTTCGCCTCGTTTGCTATAGCGACCAACTAAAAGAATATGCTAAAGGTTGGACTACGGTAGCTATGCTAAATGATAAATTTAGAAAGAACTGCATAAAGTAATGATAATAAAGTAATCCCACCTTGTAAACACATCCAAGTGCGGGTTGCTTCTGACACGTTACCAAGTGAGTTCCAACGCCGAATGAGTCAATCTGTAAAAGTTTCATGAAATCTTTTTTTATCCAATCTTTTACCTCATGTTTCTGTTCATTCAAACTAATGATCGTTTCCTCGTTGATATCATTTGAGGCAACGATTGTCACTTTAGCGAGCCAGCTCAACGATTCGTCTCTGTAAAATAGTTCTAATAACTTAATCCAATCCCTATTATACAAGTGCCCGGTATTTTATGCTCATTTATCGACAAATTAGCTCCGTTTTTGACTTGTAAGTGACTTACAATTCAGCGACATTTCTCAACCGAGCTCGAATTTCTTTCGACAGATATGAGAGATCACCGCTATCGATTCGACATCCAATCGGTCGATATCCGCACTCTGAGAGCGCCAAGCAAACGGCGATGAAATTGAGCACTCCGGATCTAAAAAAAAATGTTATACATATCTAATTGTAAGGTATTTTTGTAAAGTGATGATTTTTACCCATTTTAAGATAGGCAAAACAAATGCTTGTCCAAATCTGCAATCTTTGAAATAGCTCAGTTACCCAAAGCAATCCACTTTTGTAATACGGATACACCCAAATTCAATCTTTCATTGCTTTCCTTGAGCTTCTTGATCTACAAGCCATTTATAACTTGTTTCTGTTCTATTCTTGTTCTTTAACTGATCAAATTTTGTTCCATCTGCCTATTTGTGTCAAAAGTTGGTTAGTTTTCTCATTTTTTAAACTATTCTCCTTTCTCCTTTTTTCCCTTTTCGCTTTTATGATTCATTGGCAATATCAAAGCATTTGGTTTCCCGATCGGCCCTTTTTCGGCAAAAAAGGCGAAAATCGTAGTCTTTGCGGTAAACGAAGAAATTCGTAAAGCAAAGCAAAACAAAACAAAACGGCACTTTACTGTTAGACTTCACAACTTTTGGGCTGATTGGGAATCATTGTTTTTACTAGGGAACTTCTCCAACTTAACATCGATCTGGGATATGGGGTCTAGCGCCGAAACACCACCTTGAAATCCTAAGGGATACGTGTTTTTCAGTTTTACTCCATAGCACCTAGTTTTCGAGAAAAATCCTTTTGAAGTTTGGGCACTTTTTGGAAAAACGGCGCCGCCACGGTATGGGGCCGAATTATTTTCGTTCGAGTGGTGAGCGGATGGTGTAGTGGATAGTGTGCTAGCGCTTCCGCTGCCGGGTTCGAATCCCCTCACTGTCAGGACCTTTTTGCTTTTTTGTTAAATTGCTAAAACCAATTTTTAGGTATATCAAAGTGTCTATAAACAGTAAGAAGCTAAATAGTTCCCTAGTTAGCATCAAAAAAGGTTTGAATTGTTGCTTTATTATCTAGAAATAAGGGTAGTTATCTGGGTTTCTTGAAAACTTGTGATAGTGCAACTATATGCAAAAGCAATAGTGTCCAGCTTACCTCAGCACATCATACGTGTCAATAAGTGCCAAGAATCCATTCGGGAAGGCGATTGCGTAGGCGACAAACGCGCACAGTTCACCCTCGCTCACCTCCGACGAGGAGACTCCCCAGAATAACTGAAAGTGAAGAATTGAAGTCAAATTTGAACGGGAACAAATTATTTTTAACTAAAAAATCATCTTGAATAGCTAAATATTTTAAAAAATCATGTAATATTAGGGATCTTCTAACTATAAGTTCCAAACTTCTCAACCTTATCCATGATGTCATCGCGTTTCTTCATCGCCAACGCATATAAATCGATCATTTTCCCATCTTTTGTCTTAAATTCGCGCACTCGGAGATCTTTTTCCTGTAAATTTATTGAAATTTTATTTTATTGCTAATATTTTACCGCTGAAAACGAGCAGATGAACGAGTGAGCCTGAGTGCCCTTGACAGGAATCCCAAAGAGTTTCCCAGCCAAAACATTTGATGTTCCGTCAAATCCTGTAAATAGACAAAAGTACAGTACAATACTACAATACTACAATACAATACTACTACTACTACTACTACAATACTACAATACAATAAAAGACTGAAGCTATAATAAGTTTAAAGGTTAAAAAGTCAAAAACCTTTATCAAAGTGGTGAATTATAAACGGCTCCAACTTTGCAATGCTTGGCATTCAGATTTTGTTTGATTTACCTCCAATATAGCAGTATTTCGAGGCGGCTAAACCTCCATTTGGTCCTTGAGCTCGTCTCAAGCCAAACTCGAGAAGATTAGTTTTGGGGCCAGCTGCCTAAACGCATTTTCACTATTTACAGTTAACTTTGAGTCGTTTATCTAACGCAGTCAACAGACTAAAATCTTAACTTAAATCTTACCACTATTCGGTTGAAAGTACGATAACTTTAAAGAGATTTAGAAGAGTTTTCTGGTACTTAATACAAGCCAATGATCTTAAGATAAACGTACCAATCGAAATCTGGCTGCATTCGTGGCGACAAGTGACGAGTAGTTGACCAAATTGAGAAGGGTCGTTTCCAAGAGTTGACAAATTGCGAGCGGGCCAGAAACGGATAGAAGAGGAACTTTTGGGAACACCACAGAGCCTGGAATCAGCAGATTTATATTAAGTTATCAAAATTATTTTTTAAATTGTTTGGTAAGGGCAAGTAGGAAGACAATTAGATACCTGGATCCTAATGATCTTGTATTGTTTAGTGCTTTATTTTTTAAATACTTTCAAAAAAATCTTTGGCCCACCCTCTGTAATCGCATGAATCGTCACAGCCGAGCAGTCCATTTCCTTCAAATATTCAAAGAAATCCTCCTCAACGCCCGGCAAGAGAGTGCGCAGAAAATCGATGTCCGAGACAGAGAATTTGAAATTCTCAACAAAACGCAGACAATCCTCCAAACCGGCAAATATCGTGAATTCACCCTGAATCGCTTTTGCTTCCAGAAGTTTTGTTTGTTTTACCTGGAATGGATTTTTTCGAAAGAACAAGTCGAAAACGGCTGGCTCATTGTGGATTTGCGATCTCCAATAACTGTAGGTCATGCTGATCTGTAAAAAATAAGTCCAAGTTGGGATTTACTTTAACATCTGTACAATTTTTGATTGTTAAAGTCCTAAAAGCCTTCGGTACTGACTTTCCCCCAAAAAGTTAAAACCTTTTAGTCTACCATACTCAAAATCCCAAGTTAACTTTCTTGTTCAACTTTAATTCAGCTACAAAATATGATCAAAACATGTGTTTACTTATTTTATGGAAATTTGAATGTGAATCTATAACCTATAATCTATAATCTATAACAATCTATAAGTTACCTGATAGAAATCGGTCAACAACGGCTGTACCAACGAATCCTGCCCGTTAAGGTGGAGACCGTTCGACGCTGTCCCACCATTCATTGTCTCTAAAAAGAGTGAATGGTTTAGCAGTTTTTGATGCCCACCTTCTAGTACTCAACCAAAATACTGGCAATATAAATTTTTGAATACAAAAAGTCAGGAAAACACATTCAAAAGATCATTCAAGTTCCGGTAATCTTAATAGCAATCGAAACAAGGTTTAACTCCAAACTTTGGAGCAGCTCATAGGCAAGATCAATGATGTCTGATGAATTAAATGATAAATTTTTAAAAATTTTGCTATAAACAAAGCCAACTTTACTGTACTTTGGAACCCTCATATGTAGAAAAGAAAAACCGCTTGTTTACCAAACAAAACACTCACCCGGTCGCAACAAAAACGCCATATTTGGGGATTTTTTGGGAGGGAGAGAATGAAGAAAATTTCTTGAGACTGTTAAGTCATTGAAATAGATTGTATTTATGGGTTTTCAAACTCGAAAATAGATGTGGATCGAGTTAAATCGAGAGAAATATCGCATTGGATTTGCAAAAAAGAGAGTTGTGGGGGTGGTTTTAGGCAAAACAAAAACCAGGATGAAGGGGAAACGATTGGAGCAATTCAGAGGGAGCGATTTGATCGGATTACAGCGCGAATTTTGAACACTCTCGTTTTTTTCGTCTGATATCAATGGGAATGCGGGTGACCTTTCTTCATTTCATATCACACAAAAATCGGGGGGCGGGGCTCCAAACAAAATTGTCAGTGACTTTTTGCAAACTGATTTTCCCATAGTTCAAAAAGCGTTTTTATAATCCCTTTACGGTTTGTGGTTTCGTAGTACGCTACGATATACATAGATCAAGGGTGGGCATTGTCAATATTTATATAAATCGAAACTCGGGAACTTTACCAGCGTCAATTCAAAATTAGCATACACTATTTTATGCAAATTTTCATGGAATAACGAATGAATACAGGAGTTGCTTTTGACATAAAAAGCCAAAGCCTAGAAATACTCCTCGAGTTTAATGAAAAGACAGCTTTCCATTTGCCAAATTGCTGCTACTCATAGGCTCGCAAACAAATTGACAGAAAGAGAACTTCAAAAACATTTGAAGATCCCTTTACGAAGTGATATTCAGCTAAAAAACACTTTGCCAGGCACTCGTTCGCATATAACCAAACAGCTAAAATATGGGCTGAAAGAAAAGAAGAATTTATAACAAACTCTGAAAACATTTCGTGAAAAAAAATATAAGCAAGATCACTTTAAGAGTAATGACAATAGAAATTTTAAGTGAAACCGCACGAGATCAATCACAAAATTTAACAAAAAAAACGAAAAATCAACACTCAGATCACATAACAAAGACTACTTTAAACTAGCTAACTAATCAGAAATCACTAACAATAAGCATTATGTAGATGAGCCAGGCATCCAGCTTCGAGAACTCGTTCCACCCTGAAAAATTTTGTCACTATAATTAAATGAGAAACCAAGGCTCACCTGCTTTTCCACTTCTTTCAGCTTTTCTTCGTTGAGTGCTATTGCGAAGTCAATCTGAAATGAATAAAAATTAAAAAGAAGATAAATAAAAGAAGATAACAGATAAACTTCCTAGTAAAATTTCAGCACCAAGGTTTCAACAATACCGAACCTTTGGCAAATTTTACATTTAAAGATATCTAGCCTAAGCACATTGTTTGAACTATAAAACCAAAGTAAAACAAACCTTTTTACCTTCAACCTGTAGCTCGCAAACTTCCCTGTGGCAAGCCTCGAATTGATGTCGCAACGCCTCCAAGTGGATTCCCTTGTCAATGAGTTGAAGCGCTAATCCCTCACGGCGATGTTTCAATTCATGTCTTTTGCGCACCAATGACATCAGCTAAATGCTCATAGGTTAAAAATTTAAAACAAAAAGCACCTCATTTTGTTCTACGGTGCTCTCATGCTCGGATACCGGAGTCGTCAGGAGGTCGGAAATCCCGGGAGAAGGCTTAACGTAAAAAGTTATTTAGAAAAAGGATAAATAACTTGAAGATTGTTTAATGCGTTGCGATCAATGTTTGATGGGTTTGAACTAGCAAAAGCAAGTGGAGGATTTTGGCTCAAATCTAGAAAAAAATATTTTTCAAAAGATAAAGCTCAAGCAAACCTGTAGGCCTCCTTACTGCCGGCACCTTACTTGTGACAATGTTTGACACGACCGATTTCTTAACTAAATACAATATTTTATCATAAAATCTCAATAGCACTCATTTATAACTAAATTAGAACTCTACCTGGAACCGTCTCTTCGACGGATGGAGATGGAGAATTTTGAGCCACAGGCTAAAAACGATCTAATTTAAAAAGTGGCTAATAAACCATGCGATAATTCGGAAAGCTCAAAATTATTGTACCCTTTTAGATAGTGGTTGAGCTGACGAGGTTGATGGTTGTTGATGAGCTTGCCAATCCAAGTTCACCCCAGTAACCGGACCCCTAGAAGATATAACAGGTTAGTTTAGCACAAATTGTATTCGGTAAAGCTTTTGAACTGACTTATAGAAGCTTCAAATCATTACCCCTTTTGCACTAAAGTACTCAGCGCTGCTACTGATCCATATGGCTTTGCAGTGCTTGCATCAAAGACAACTTTTGGTCTAAAGTCAAAGAGTATTAAAAAGAAGGATTAAAACCCACTGCTCTGAAAGAATTTCTTGCCTCTCCTTTTCCTTTTGCTTGCGTAGGTTCAAAGAGTTTGTACACTAAAGATTCTGCGTCAAATTTTGTTATTTATGTGTTAAAATCACCTTTGCTCCCATCATGTTCAGAGCGCGCACACGATCGCCGAGAACCATTTTTGGAGGTATCGTTCCTGGTGCTCTCTTTTGCCACAATTTCTTCAAAACCTGAAGAAAAGTAAAAATTATAAAATCTTTGTGAATTTCGACTCTTTGTGAAATTTTCCCTGAGTTAGAGGCCGTTGATGTGCCGGGAGTGTCTTCAGTCGACAGAGGTGGTGTTGATATTCTGTAAAATAGAATCAGCTTTCAAAGTGTCTACTCACAGGTTTTGTCCCAAAAGATCACGTCCTTCTTTGCTTTTCTGCTTGCATGCCTCCATTAAACGCTAAAAGTTAAAATCGTTAAAAATTTTTTCCGGTAATGAATCAAAAAACTACCTTTTTGGCTAGCTTCTTTGTATTTAGGACCCTTGGATCGACACTCAATTTCTTGGTAACCTTCGAAGTTGGAGCTAAAAACAATTTTAGAAATTCTAGATTGACTAAACTACCTGGTTTTTGAGGAAACTTTTTCTTATCCTTTCTTGATTTCACAGTCGCTTTGTTCTTGTTTTGGTTGTTAGCTTCTGTAAAAACAAAAAAAAAACATTGTTAATAGCTAACACATGATCTTAAATTGTGCTATATCAAACCAGGGAATGGTCTCAGTTCGAAGTTCAGAATCGATTCGAGCCAAGGTGCATCTTGTAGAATCGGATACGCGGATTCCGAATCTGCAAAAATTAGCTGCGGACTTGCACGGTAACGTGAGCACACTATCCGCTGGGCCACCGAAGCCGTTGGAAGGTTTTCTTGTGGAGGCCTCACAAAGACTCCAAATTTAAGCGAATTTTCTATGCCAGATGTCGTGCGAGTCTGCAGCTAATTTTTAAAGATTCGAAATCAGATTCAGATCCGATTCTATAAGATGCACCTTGGCTCGAATCGATTCTCAACTTCGAGCTGAGACAATTCTCTTGTAAGATAATTGAAGATAATCACCTTTTCGCTTCGATTTCTTTGGAAAAGTCCGCTTCGTCTCATCTATTTTCATTTGGTCATCTTTTTTGTTTCCAGTGTCACAAGCTTAAATTACAAATGTGTTTAGTAAATCATGGTCCAAATAATTCGTCACTCTTGAAAAACTATACTCGGTTGAAGTTTCTCGTTTCGCGGACCTAGCATCCTCGTTTTTTCATTGTCATTATCATTGGTTCCTTTGGAAATTGTTCCTGCTAAATAATTGTATAAACCATCTCAAAACAATTAAAAAATTATACACCTTTGGCAATCTGTTCCTTTGGGGCGAGAATTTGTCCGTGATCGGCAATAAATGATTTTTCCGCCGCTCCACCTTTTCGCTGATCAGTTTGATACGGACTGTACCAGTGATATCCATCGTTTTGACGAGATGTCGACGGCTCAAATGGTAGTTGCATCAATGGTCTAAAAAATATTCATAGAGTGTAAGAAAAATGACAACATACATAGGTTTCCTTACTTCACTAGATAGGCTCTGATAGACTAACTCTGGCGGCGGCACGTCAACATTTATCATCCTCGGGGTGTACATGTTGGAATCATAATGATTGTAGACGGAAAAGGCGTCGGGAAAAGCGTTTCTTGGCATATAATTTCCTGGTTGATGTGGCTGATGATAATTTGGCGGCCTTGTTGGACCCGTATTATTGTATCGAAACGGTGCCTAAACGATTACTCATTCTAAGATGAAGATAAAAAGCTTTCATTAATACAAATTTTTAAATTTAAAGTTTCCAAAGATTCAAAACAATTTCAAAGTGTTCTCAGCAAAAAAAAATTTTGAACCTAAAATTCACAATTCAAAACTTACAGGCGGATATCCACCTGGTGGTTGTCGCTGTGATGGTCGCGGTGGATAAAAACCATAAGGTGACGTAGGTTCAGGATTGTCAAAAGGATATTCTCTTAGACGCTAAAAAAATAAACGGTTTATCAGCCTCTTATTTTTGTGTTAATTCTAGTTCTAGTTAATTGAATTACAAAACTTTAAAAGTTCTAAGAGGCAGCATCTACTTTGACGAGATAGTACCCACGATATCTAGTATTATTTTAAAGTAACTAACCGGTTGTTTCCACTGCATTGGTTTCTTCTCTGGTGACTCGAAGTGACTGAATGGCTGTGGATTCTTTGCAATTTTCGGCTGTGGTTGACGGTCTGACCCCTGCTCTGCCAGTTGGAGAGTCTTCTCGAGTTGGCGATTCTTTTGTTCTTGATTCCATTGTTTCTGCTTTTTCTGGCTTTCTTTTTCCTTCTGGCAGGCATCCAAAACAAGCCGATGGTTTACGCTTTGAACGTGCTAAAATGAAAAATATTAATGAAAACTCTCTTGTAGCTACCTTAGAAAAATCCGTTATAGTTTGACAACGATACGAGCACAAGTTGCAATTATAACATTTAACATTTGTTTGATTTGACATTTGATGTTTGATCGTAGCCTCGTGTAACCTTATATCCTAGAAATGAATAAATGGCTTCAGGCAATCATTTTAGAGTTGAGCCCTCATTTAGCGCACGAGATTTTTACAAAAAAAAATAAGACAAATTTCAGTTTTACAAAGGCACAAAATCCTCCAGTGCACTAAAGCTTCAACTGAAACAATAATAGAAAAGCTCACATATTCGTCGGCAAAGCTCAATTTGCAAAGCTCACACCTTAATTCGACCATTCTAGAATGAAACTAGGTAGTAGGCTTGCTGATATTTTAAAAAACAAGAAAACAAAACGATAAATTATCGAAATGCACCGCTGTAAATTTTTTGAACTTGTAGAATCATTTATCCATTTAAAAGTAGGCACTAGGCAAACGAAAAAAGAAGAGAAGAAAAAGACCCGGTTGCAAGACTCAAAAAGGCTAGAAAGAGTAATGCGGATTAAAAGGAAAGAAAACACTCTTGCATACAGAAATAATAGGGGAGGTGGGTAAAGTTAATGATCAATAGTTCTTTACAAATAGGTGGGTAAGAATAATCTGCTATTAAAACACAAGTACACAAACGTCTAGATTTTCAGAGTAACAATATGCAATCTTAAGATTTCAAAGAGGAAATACCACAGACGCTATCAATAATTAAAACAATAAGAAAAATTATACAAGTAGTTCTAGGCATAGTTCCTAAACACGCGAGTTGTATGTAAGAGCAAGAGAGCCACGTGGAAATTATGCACTTTTAAGGAAAAGCCCGAAATTGACGCCTCGAACGAATGTGGCCGCATGAGCAAATTTCAGAAACACTCAAACAATATTAAATCACAAGCAACAAAATTTACAAACGCGTATTGAACGATCCGGGAGCAATGACTATCACAGGAATGTGCACGTCCTTTTTGATTAGTGTAGAATCTAAAATTTTTAATAATACCATTTTAAAAAGACTAACTTACAACAAGATAACTTGGTTTTGAAGAGACACATTACGAGTCCGACCATTCATTGTTCTCCTCAGATTCTAAAATATAAATTTAAACGTTGTTCATATTCAGAAAATCATTCTACAACTCCTCACCATCAGAATCACTGTCCGAGTCGATACGATCCCTTCGTTCAGCAAGAGCTCGAGCCAACGCACCAGCGATTCCACCCAAATCTTGTCCACCTTGTGTTGACCGCCTTTTTTCCTGTTCTGCACTCATGTCCACCTAAACATTTCGTGTGATGCAAACTAAATTAAAAAGAAACTTTTTTTCAACTGCGTTCCGCCAGCTTTAATCTGTTCCATAACATTTCCTCGTGCGTCATTCGAAAACCCTTTGCTGGTGTTTGTATTCGTATGGTCAACACTTCGCAGTGCCTTTCCAGCTTGGATTTCCTTAAAGTAAGTGGTTAAAGTAAGAAGTATTTTGGGCACTTACCGCTAGCAAGTTTCCACGATTTGGTTGAGCTGTTGGCAAGCCACGAAGCGGCTCGGCTGAAGGCAGAGGTGGAGCAGGAGGGCCTCCATTCGACAGTAGTCCTGGTGGTGGGGGAGGGGGCGGCGGCGGTGGTGGCGCTCCTTGTGCCACCATTGGAGGAGGGGGTGGTGGTGGAGGCGGGCCTGTTTCTGGACGTGAACCATTCACTTGTGGAGCCTAAATGATGCACTATATAAACTTTAAAGATTTAACTGGTGCTACTCGCGTATCAATCTCATACCTGTGGAAGTGGACGTTGTTGAGCGACTTTGGGACCTTGCATTGGTGGAGGTGGTGGTGGACGAGCGGGTGGTGCCCCACTTGCGCCTCCGTATCCTTGTTGAGCACTGGCTACTCGTGGGGGTGGGGGCGGAGTGGAAACATTCGACTAAATACACAGTTCAATTCAGCAAAAACTATTCTACCGCTGGTGGATATGTTGTAGCTGGCCAATTATTCAGAGGAGCTGTTTGAATTTTTTGAGCCATAGTTGCCATTGGTGGATTTAAACTAAAATTAAAAACCATGCTTGTCTAAGTTTAAAACTTTACGTGTGAATGGAAGCAACCGGAGGGCTTACGCCTGAATTGTTCTTCTTGTATTGGTCGATGAAGTCATAAACGAATTTAATCGTTTTCCCATCCATTCCCTCTGCAGAATGTCCAGCAGCCTAAAGTTTTTGATTAAATTTCGTAGGGACAAGACCTTAATACCTTAATAATTTCAGCAACGCTTTCATCGATGTGTTCCTTGTTCGAGTAGATATCTTTAAATCCTTGTTCTTGGTCCCAACCAACGTGAGCTCGATGTCTAAAAAACTTTATATAAATGGAATCTCAAGATAACGAACTCAAAATTTGTAGGATTCGAAATGTCTTCTTTTCTGATCTTTCTGTTCTCTTTCTTTGGCTTCTTCTTAAATCCCAAAAAGTTTCGTTGATCTTTTTCTGGTTGCGGCTGTGTGAGAACAGCTGCAGAAGGGACAGCTACACCTAAACGCGCAAAAGTTAAAATTTTCAAAGTCTTCCGAACCGTTTGAATTGAAAGCAGCTGGAGCCATTGCGGTTGGTCTTGTTCCGTAGCTAACACCTAAATAATGACGTTAGTGCCTTTAACAGTTTTCCATCTTTTTAGTATTAGAAGTCGTACCGATTGGAATAGGAGGCATTGGTGCAGCCGGCACGGCACCTTGTCCACCAAGTTTTTGTTGATCTAAATTCTTGTTTGATCAAGGAGGTAAACAGATTTCTCGTGTCTGTGAATTTTAGCTGCTTTCCCATACCACTATTGAATTTCAATCTAATATATGGCTAACGTCTACATAGGTATGCTAAATACATGCATTACATATGGGCTACGTCAAAGTAAAGGAAGACAGCGACAACTCTCAAGGCTCGATTTGTCATTTATTTGCATAGAGGCGCGCTTGGCCGAGGGCACTCAAATGCTCAATACGGCTATAGTTCAATGCATACTCACAAAGCCAAATACAATTCCATTGATAAAAGCCTATTATGACTCCTATACTAGAATTGTTTTCCTAAAAATCACACCTTGGATTGAGAAATTATTAGTCGACATCGCTGAAATCGATCTTCTGGCTCTTGATTGAGGTGGTAAAGGGGGCAAGGGTGGTGGGAAAGTTTTTACAGAAGGCTTAGGCTCAAAATTTTGCAACCGGCTTCTTGTTACCCCAGCGCTTTGGCGCCCCAAAGTTCCATAGGCGCATAAATAGTCTTTCGCGGGGTGTGGACCCGAGAATTGTGGGGGAACACGTTGACTTTGAGTGCTTGAGCGAATTTTGGTCAAAATTGGTTCCGAGCCTTTAGTGGCAATGGATTGGGCATCAGAAACAAAATTGGTAGGTTTCAAGGATGCAGTTCGGGGCTGAACAGTTGGGGGTGATCCAATATGGGCTGTTGAATAATCAAAGGGCCTTCGTACAGTCGAACACACAAATTCACCACGTGAAATCGGTGGTTGTAATATTTGAACTTTCGGAGGTTGTCGAAAGGTTTTAGATAAGCTTTGAGCGAATTGGGCTGAATGTGGATAATCTGGTGGAGGCTCTTTGGGAATAAAATTGCTGCTTTCATAAAAGAAAGCAGCCTCCGAAGGTTTCGGATAGATGAAACTGTGACTTTTGTAGAGTCTTGGATGAATTTTTGTGCCGGCTAATTGCAACGAAGCCATCACAGATGGTGAGTCTTGATACTCCGAAGATGATGAAGATGAGGCAGAATTGTAGGAATTTGGGTTAGACGCTTCATAATGAGTTGAATAAGAATATCCACCTTTTCTTGAAGCAGAATATGTGTACATCGATTGTGGTGATACATTATCATAATGTTCATACTCACGATTGGGCAAAGTTTTTCGAAACTTTCCAGCAGGCGGGGAATACACATGACTTGGGTCGGGAAATTGGGGGCATCCCCTTGAGAACCTAGTAAAATCGGGTTCCAAGGGAGTAGAGATAGAGCGTTGATTGTAAGTTAAACGACCCGACGGATCTTCGCTCACAATCATCCACATACTTTTTGTTGATCAGAGAATGCGCTAAACAAAATCAAAAAAGCATTGGTAGTTTGGAGAGAAGCATACACGAGCGTTGCTTGAGGTGGCCCGCGATCTTGCTTGAAAAAGATGGGCGGAGTCGCGGACACTGCAAACAAAGCAATCACCAAAGCAGAAAGAGAGAAAACCAAAAGAGCGATGTCAGCAATTCCACTAGCTGTCAGCCGGTGAAACGAATCAAGATCAAATTATGCCAAAATGTTGTTCAAACTTTGCAATTTCATATTGACTGTATTACTCTTAAGCACCGGAGAAAAGAGGGGAGTCGCATTGTGACAGGACCATTTGTTTATCCGTATCGCAAACATAACTAGCAATGCGGTTACCGGCCGTTACGCAAAGTATTGAACCTTTCGCGTCGACAGAAAAAAGGTTGCCGACTGTGATTCATCATTTTATAGGGCAGAGTATCGATCTTCAATGTCTCCGAGGCTAAAACTGTTCAATACAACTTAAAACTTGCTCGTCACAAGTTTCTCAAATTGAAATCAATATTCTACATACAAAGTGCTTGTGATGCTTACAAGTTTCCCATCTAGAGAAATTTTCTTGCGTCAGTACAAATTTAACCATTCAAGAGAAGAACATACATTGCCTATATTGCCAATATTGCCTACCACCTAAACCTGGAGCCAGCAGCAAACACACTTCCAAAAGAATTCCCATAAAGTTAATCTTTTAAAATTGATAACGACTCTTTTCTATTTACACGCTTCCACTTTCAGAGCTAACCCAGAACACATGGAAGAGTGAAAAGACGCAAGAAATGGGAAAAATGGAGGGCGACGCGTTGGCCTCTTCCGCACAAGAAGGACTCGGTGGTGTATTTGCGGAGTGCTTGGCGTGCCCGCTCGGCCCGTCCTCCGACGGCTTCCCGATTCAATTTCTCCGTGTCCGACAACTGCCGCCACCCTCTTTTCCACCCACGGAAGAGAGTGTGGAACATAGCATAAAATCGGAGGCAGGTGTCCATCCACTCAAATGCGAAACACAAAAAATCTTGATCAGACGACCGGGACCTCTTAATGATTAAGAGTTCAATGACAAAAAAAAGGCTTGACAAACTTGCCATGAGAGCTCTCAACTAATGTCGCTTGAATTTAGTTGCTTCTGTTCACAAAACAGTAACAAATGGGATTAGGGCAGAACACGAGTGTCTTTTTATTGTAAAATAAGCTACCGAATTTGTTTCCACTAGATCGACCCGGGTCCTCATTTTAAATCACAAATTGAGCCAATTTCTTTTTTACTTTAATTCTGCGCTGCCAAACTCACGAGTTTTTCGTTCCTGTTCATTCCGCTTATCGATGTGTCCTTTGAACTTGGTTGCCTCGATAGAATGTGCAAAATTCAGTCCGAAAATCTGACCATTCTAAAAACGACAAATTTTGATTCTTAAACTCCAACAAACCTCGCTTTCAAATGCGAGCAAATTTACGCAATGTGGGAATGCAGTAGCCGTAAAGTTTTTGTACCTAAAGAAGATATGCAGCTGTTAACCTTAAAGTGTTACATTTTCTCGCTCCACAACACTCTGCGATTCATGATGTCAAAGGCTCGCAAGAAGTAGGCGCGATTTTCGTAGTCTTTCACCAGTGCAAGAACACCAGAATGAAGTCGAATCCACCTGAAATGTAAAAAGTTAGCAGATGATCAAAACATTAAAACAACTTAAATGGGCTGGTCAGTTTTCCAAAAAATTAAACGAAAAATTTCCCATACAACAAAAAGGTACCTCCGTTCATTCGGTTTTCCTTCCAATACTTCAGCTACAGCTGCATACAGTGAGTAACAATCAAACGGTAGACACGCAAATAGGGCCTCATTTTCGCCTAAAATCATCAACATGAGTTTGGCTTAAAATTTAAATAGCCAATATGCTTAGATTAGGGTATCACTACTCTCTAAACTCTCGACTACAGCCCACAGTTTTTTACATCTCATCTTTTCCTACAGTTAGATCGGTGGGACTTCAAAAAGTAAAGCTTAAGTTTAGCGTATTCTCACAAGAAATAGTTATCAAGTTTTCGAAAAATAAAAGTCAAATCTCACTTACTTGCATTCAGAGTATCGGATCCAGAATTTGCCGGGCGCTTTTTGTTCATTCCTCGAGAAGTCACCCCGTAATTGGTAGCGGTTGAATAAACCGTTTCCATTTTTTCGTTTTCTCAAGTCCGTAGCATCAAATCTGTAAAATCAATACAATCAAGTGTAAAAAGCGAAAACATCAAGAAAACGGCAATTGAAAAGAAAACTTTTCAAAAGGAGGAAAGGGGGAAAGCCGCCAAAATGATGAGCAATTTCTGGCAAAGAAGAATTCAGAGGGTTTTAAAATTTTTACAAGGAGTTGCTCCAGAAATTGACTATTCTTCAACGAGGAACTGTGACTATTTTTCTTGTAATCAATTTAACAGCACGAGCCATGAGTCAGGGGGAAAAAGGATTGATTTGATCACTGATAAGACACCAACAACAAGCAGACAAGTGCAAATTTTGGCTACTTCACAAAAAAAGCGCTTCATTACACTTAAAATGCTCCAGAAATGTTGATCTTCTAAATTTAAAATGGGAAATCGCCTCAATACGAAATCAAGGAATCGGAAATGCTATATAATTAAAAGTTTATGATTTTCAAACGTTGTGAATCGTTTTCGATGATATTTTCTCGTTTTGTGCTGACTTGAAAGTTGAACTTATTACGAATTAGAAAGTAAAAAGTCAAAAGAAATGCTATTGTGATCTTGAAGATCTGATTTTGATTGTGAATGTTTATTTTTATGGGGGAAATCGAAGATCAAGAAGAAAACATAGAGCAAAGAGGATTGGCTTCTTGGTTTTGCATAGAAATTGGTCGAAAGGCAAGATATGTAATGCATAGCATGAATATTTGGCTATGTATCTCATTGAGGGATGAAACTGAATTTATCTTGCAAAGTGGACAAATTCCCACCATGAAAAGCTTTTCGTAGCAGAAAATCCCTGCATGGAAAACTTTTTCTTGGGCAAAAAGAGTTGTTTCATGAAAAATTTAAAGATTTGGGGAAAAGGGGTTTCGGTTGAATGGGAATCGATCAATTGAGAGGGCTGCTTTTTGGTGAAAAATATGTATAAGCAGCTAAAAGTGTGTGTCAGAGCTTTTTCTTTTTTCTTTCAAAACTTTAAACTAACGGCAAGTGGGACCCTTGGTGACACAACAGGACAGAGGGTTTTTAAGATTGAAAAGGTGACTTGAATGAACAAACACACACTTTTAGCTGCTGTATAAGCAACTAAAAGTGTGTATCAGAGCTTTTTCTTCTTTTTCTTTCAAAATTTTAAACTAACGGCAAGTGGGGCCCTTGGTGACACAACAGGACAGAGGGCTTTTAAGATTGAAAAGGTGACTTGAATGAACAAATTCATTGAAAGAATAAAAAAATAGAACGAACTAGAACTAGAAAATAGAACTGACTACCCAAACAGTAGTCAAAAGTCGTAACAAAATTTCATCGTCGATAATGGTCCTTCAGTAGGTTTGAAATTTGAAACCCACGAAAAACCAATAGAGATACATACTTGATCAATATTAATATCACTAAATACTAATATTTTTAAAGGTCAAATGATCATAGACCGACAAAAACCCATAGCTTTAAGCAGAGTTAAGCTTTTAACTTTGTTCAAAGTTAAAAGCTTAACAGCTCAAAGTTAAAACCAGCTAGACCTTAAAAGCTCAAAGTTAAAACCATCAACCAGTTAGAAAATCCAGTTTTACAAACCCAAAAGTTGGTCAAAAATTCTAGAAATTGATCAAGAGCTAAGGATACAAGAAATCACTGAAGAATCCCATTTCAAAAATTAACGATAAGTAAAGATTAGAGTTAAAATTTGATACGTACAACCGTAACCTTTAATTTTCAAATGCAAAATAGTATTCAATTGAGATTTGAATTATTCAATGTAGCCTTTAGTTTTGATATGAACTGAGAAGTTAAAGAAATAGGGAATAGAAATATGGACTAACGGAATATCGTACGTTTAAAAATGAAGCTTAATCACCGATTAAGCTATTTCCAAGGAAACCAGCTAAATAAACTCATTAGCGAATATTTCCAAATGGCCAAAAAATAACGGTATGAATAATCGGGGGGTCGATGGTGTGTGTAGAAAGAGAGGGTTCGATCAATACAGAACTCGGCCATGACTAACAATGCAGTCTTTTCCCTCTCCTTTCCTTTTCCCCCACAGCGGCGCGCTCCTTTTCGCTAGCTGTTTGGGGGCTGAGCGGTCGTTGCTTCTTTTTGCTTTTTCCTCTTTACCCCGACCGAAACAAATCCGAAACGCACGCTGCGCGCTTTGCCCCCGAAGATTATTTTCAAGAAATTTTCTTGAAAAACTTCTCTTGCAAGACTTGCAAAAGCATAATCCCCGAACTCGGGATTTCTTTTTTGAGCGTAACTTTCTAGCATTTAAAGCTTTTTTACAACTGCTTACAACTGCTTTAAAGGCTTTTAACTTCAAAGACTTTTTCCAAGAAATTTTCCTGGACTTCTTTTCTTTTTCTTTTCTTTTCTTGACTTTTTCTTTTCAGCTCCGATGTCCAGCTTCTTTACTAGCCTTCAAAGCATCTAGAGACTTGTAAAGACACTGAAAATAATCATTGGACTTGGAATTTCTTTTAGCTTTAATGTCTAGCTTCTTTACTAGTTAGTTAGCAAAAGTTTCTAAAACGTTTTAAAATATCTTCCTGCTTTTGCTTTTGTCTTTTATCTTGAAAGAGTGTTTTTCGTCTTTTCTTTGTTATTGTGTTCATCAAATCCCTTCCAACACGTGTTTCTATTTTGTCGCAAGCAAAACTTTCATCAATTTTCTAAAATCAACTTCTTCAGCTAAAATGTTCATCTTTCGGGTGCTTAACACCGTTCCCTACAGTAATGAGGTGAGTGAAAGATTTGGAGAAAAGTGATTTAAAAAACTAAAAGACCTATAAAGAGCAATTATAGCAAAATCTAAGAACTAACACATTCGCGACGATACAGCTCACTGGTAGGCCGTGGATTTAGCACTTTTTGTTGAGGTCGATTGGGCTGAAATTTTGCAAGCAGGGGTTTCGAGGATGAGGAATTCGAATCCGTTATTAGTCTTAAAGAAAGAGTAACAGCTCTATTTTTGAATATTTCATTCGATTTAATTACCCAAGTGCAATGTTTACAAATTTTCGGGTCTACAGCTAACATAGAATCATCTGAAACGGCAGCCAAGCAAAAAAAAGACTTTTTTTGTGAATGTGTTAAGAATCAATATCAAGAAAAAGTTCTAGGTAGCAGTGAAAGATGTGATTGCGCACATTCACTCGTTTTTCACGTGTAATCTCTTGATTGGTCTTGCCGTGCTCGTCTCATGGAAACAATTTGGAGGGAAACCGATCGAGTGCATGGTTCCCACCGATTTCACTCCGGCTTGGGTTCAGGTGAGTGGATTGGTGAGGAAATAATGAAAGAATGATAGGATAAGTGATTAGGAGTAGAATAGAGATTGAAATTAGTAACAAAAATTGCTCAATTGCTTGAATCAGCAAGATTTTACTTTTATTGATCAATAGGTCACTAAAATGAGGAGAAGAGGTTGAATTTAAAAGCAAAAAATAGATTTGACGATCGGGAAGAATAGGCTGTAAACAAGAATCTCTTTCTAATCAATATACCAATCGTTAAATCGAGAGTCGACTCTAATACCTTTGAACCTTTAACTTTAAACAACCTGGCAATAGCTTTAGATCTTGTTTAATCAATATAATATTTGTTTAGTATGCCGAGAACTTCTGCTGGGCTCAGGACACATATTTTGTGCCGTTGAGTGAGCACGTGCCTACAAATGAAACAATTCGAAAGAGTGCACCAAAGGTTGATCAAATGAGAGCTAGATCAAATTTCTATACTTTATAAATGATCATTATTATCTAAACACGATTTAATAAATGAAATATCTCAATTTTCAGATCTCCTACTACCAATGGATGCCATTTTTCTTGTTGTTCAACGCCGCTTGCTTTAAAATGCCGTGTTTCATTTGGAAGTACTTTGCGAGTCAATCAGGTAACTTAAAAAGAATAAAAAGATATTTATAAACAATTCAACAATAATCCCATAACCATCAAAGTTTTCAGGAATGCGAGTGGGAGAAATTCTACGTACAGCTTCGGATGACGAGAATGCTGTGCCCGAAGTGAGTTCAAATGTATGGAAATTAGAAAAAACAATACAATATCTAGATTTACAAGCAAATATGAAAGTTCTTAATGACAAATTCAAATTCTAGACTAAAAAGGGCAACATTGAGGCTCTGTGCACTCATCTCCAGGGTGGGCTCCGCTTTCATAAACGATTACACAAAGTAAGTCATTTAATTTTATAAAATTATCAAAATTTTAGCGAAAAATCCTTCCGCATAAAGTATTACGCTTTTTGAATTTGAAATACTCTACTTACTATGTGACATTCATCTATTTTATGGCCAAGATCGCCTTTCTGCTGAATGTTGGCGTTCAAACGAAGCTGTTAAACAGGTGGGTTTTGAACGAAGGAAAATTGTAGAGCTGACATGATAAAGTTAAGCTACATTACAATATGATAAAGTTAAGCTATGTTACAACATGATAAAGTTAAGCTACATTACAACACGATAAAGTTAAGCTATATTATTAGGTTGATGCAAAAGTCTTTTTCATTTTTTTCGTACTTCCATTAAAAAGTAACAAATGCACCAATTGAACAACGGTTTATTGCATTCGAAAGGCCAATTATTTTTCTGCAAAATGACATTAAAACGAGTTTAAAATGTCTTATGTCTAGATTTTTTTGAGAGCCTGAAGTCGGGTAGTCAAAAAAGGCGACGGCTCGATGATGTATTTTAGACGCTTTAGCTAAGGAAACCAATCTTGATGTTAATAAATAAAAGATAGAGCACAAAAAGTTAGATATTTTTTCAGATTTTCAGAGAAATTGATTCAGCCAATTTCTTTATAGAGGTTTTTATAGATTTTTATGAAAAACCCGTTTTCACTCTCGAATTTGCTTGAAAGTGAACCCAAATTGACTTAAAAAGATGGGAAATTGAACAATAAACACTTTTCATTTAGAGCAAACCATAGGTTAATTGATGACTTTGTTATTTTTCAAAAGAAGTACGAAAAAAATGAAAAAGACTTTTGCATCAACCTAATACAACATGATAAAGTTAAGCTACATTCCAACATGATAAAGTTAAGCTACAATATCTTTTAGGTATGTACTTCCCGAGCAAACATCTTCAATGGGATGGGATGTGTGGAGAACGTTGGCTTTTTCGGAGAACCACACGCTACACGAGGATGGTATTTTCCCAAGGGTTTCACTCTGTGATTTTGAGGTAAAGCTTATTGTACTTTGTGTTTGAAAATTGAAAAAAAAACCCTTTCTGGTACACTGGCAACTGGGTAAAATGAAGAGTTTAGTGCGCCAGAAAGGAGTGTTTTGATGATTGAGCTCAGAGTACAGAGATAAAACAGCTGCAGATCTAGGTTCGAGAGACAGGAAACGTGCAAACGCATACCGTGCAATGCGTGTTGATCATCAACATATTCACTGAGAAAATCTTCATCGTTCTATGGGCTTGGTAAGTGGAAAATTGGGAACAATAAAGGATTGACTCAAATTTAGACCAAAGAACAGAAGAATTGAAAGCAAAGAACAAAAGTACCAATTGTTTTAGGTACTTGATCCTGGGTGCATTCACTGCCGGAAATCTCTTCTCTTGGTTCTTCATCATGTTCTCTGAGACATCGAAAGAGCACTTTGTAATTAGTCATCTAGAAATGGCAGAGAAGGAGTTCGATAAGGAGACGATACGTGAGTGAAAGAGAAAGTTTAGAACTAGTGGCTAGACCTGTACGCTTTCGCTGACCTGTACGCTTTTGCTTGAAAGAACAAAACCAAGTTTATTCAATAGATGTGGGGTAAAGTGTGTGAAAATGTTTTAGCTCCAAGAAACTCCAAGAAACAATGTGTTTACTCAGAGACAAAAAGGAATTGATGAAAATTGTGGAAGTATCTCGAACAAAAGAAAACAACTTCCACAAGACCAAATGAGAGAAAATTCTGACTAAATGGGGAAGAAGGCGTCCTTTTATACGCGTTTGAGTGCGACATTGTTTAGGGTACGGTATTTCTGGTGTTTTATTAGACTGCGGCAGCTTTTTGGTGACTCATCGTCACATCCTAGAACGTCACATCCTATACAAGACAACGGGCATTGAGAAAGCCGGCTTTACATCTAAAACTGTCAACCATAAGTACAACTTTATCTCGCCAGACGATCCCAACATTCACACAGTCGATTGAATGCTTGTGGTGAATAAAAATGGAAATGTAAAAAGGATTGTGCTGTCTTCTGAAATGCAAGAAATAAAAAGGATTGTGGGACATTTGGTACGCCCCCCTTTTGTCATTACCAATCTAACTTTAAGCTCAAATATCTTGCTGTTGTGCTTTTCAATTTAAATAGTTTTTGTACCAATCGACAGAGAAAGACTTGGAGTATCTAGTGATCCCAAGAATATATAAATTGAACAGCCCAACACCAAGATATTTGAGCTCAAAGTTAGATTGCTGATGGGAAAAAGGAAGGGGACGTGTCCGACAACCAATAAAAACCACCGGAACTGTTCGACATCATTTCGAAAGCTATCTAGCGGAGTCAAAAGTTGGACAAAGCGTTTTCTTCAAATGGAGGCTTCATAGCATTGTTTCCACTTATCCTCGAATGATTATGCTTTGATTATGCTTTGTTTTGTCCATTAAGTTGAAAATGAGACTTTTAAAATATCAAATGGCTGTACCCAGATAAAATTTTGTTTTAGAAAACCGCACGAAGATCGATAATTTTATCAACGAGTATCTGGGAATGGATGGGATATTTTTGTTACAGGTTTGAACAATAAAGGGGAAGAGAGGAAATTTAAAGGGAATTTAAAGGGAATTTAAAGGGAATTTAAAGGGAATTTAAAGGGAATTTAAAGGGAATTTAAAGGGAATTTAAAGGGAATTTAAAGGGAATTTAAAGGGAATTTAAAGGGAATTTAAAGGGAATTTAAAGGGAATTTAAAGGGAATTTAAAGGGAATTTAAAGGAAATTGAAAGGAAATAGAAAGCAAAGGAAAGCAAAGGAAAGCAAAGGAAAGCAAAGGAAAGCAAAGGAAAGCAAAGGAAATGAGAACAGCAAACAAGTAATAGCATAACTTTTAACAAAATTAGAGAATACACTCTACTCTAAATCTCTTTCCTTCATTTCAATCTAACGCTAAACATCTCTAAATTTTAGTTGATTGCTCAACATGCCGATGTCGTTTTCATCACGGAGCTCGTCGGCGCACTTTTCAGTAAACATGACGAGATCGAGCGGCAGCGACAGTGAGTATTGTGTTCAATATGTTCAAGACAAAAACAAATCTCAACAGTCTTGAACTCTTGTACTTAATGTATTATAGAGCAATCAAGCAAATGAACAAAATGCTTCCACCAACGAAGACTTCATTAGAAGGAACACCGGCAGAGACGAGTCGAGTCAATTCTCGGCAAGGAAATCGACGAGACAGTTATGTGCCGGGGAAAGCGATGTTGACAAAAAATGTGAGTTGAAACAGTAATCAAATAGAGGATCAAATGAAAATTCTTGAATTTTCTCAAAGTTCTCTGGAAGCATCTGGTTAGACAAACAAAGAAAGGAGAATGTTTTAGAGAAAAGTTTTTACAAATTTCATTTGAAATTTGCTACAAATTAGATTTTGGCTACTGTTTATTCTAAAAGACACTTATTTTATAATACTCAGCCATCAGTTTTCATTCTATCAGCTTCAACTTTGGTGTCATTCGATGAGGAGTCACGAGGCTCAGTCAATGATATCAAAATTGAGCTGATCAAATGGAAACTAGAGAATTGATTACGGTAATCTTTGGAGATTTGCCTTTTAGAAGACGCATTAAACTTCTAACTTCTAACTTCTGAAACCTACCAAATATTAGAAAGTCTTTGCACAGATTTAAACTAGAATTTCTTTAAAACGAATCCACCAATTCAAGAGCACTTTATTCTATTCTTTACAAGTCAACTCCAAGAAATGAGTTCGGATTCCTTTGAAAGTCTTAGAGACTTTTGAAAGTATCATTTCCAAGCTTACAAGGGAAAGGCAACAGTAGGATGAGATGAGAACGCAATAAAGGAGCCGAACTCGAGCAGAAGATGAAGCGCTCGTTTTGTGTACAGTTTTCGAGGAATTTCAGTGTAAACTTTTTGTATGCATTTCTTTCCAATCTAATACTTTTCAGGACTCTCTCTCCCATGCCACCAGCGGTGTAACGAGAAGAAACGCTTCTTTGGAAGATCTTGACATTGTTACTGGCAAAAATTTTGAGGATAGTAGTGATGAAGAAGATAAAAAGGAATCAAAGAATTCAAAGAGAAAAGAGTCCGCACAAGAAGTCGAGTATCATCATCATTTGAATCGAAACAAGCCCAGGAATCCATTGGTAATTTTGAGCATTTGGGCATTTGAGCATTTGGGCATTTGGGCATTTGGGCATTTGGGCATTTGGGCATTTGGGCATTTGGGCAAACGTTTGCTTTGTGCTTAAAGTTGTAAACACACTATTTCTCATGGATTCTATTCTTTATTTTCTTACAAATCGATGTGAAAAAGTGTGTGAAAGAAGGAGAAGAAGCAGTGTTCCAGAAAGAGTGCGTTTAGCTCTATAGCAACGGCTCTATAGCACAAAGTACGCTCATAAGACGAACAAAAACCATTTTTGAAAGGGAAAATGATTTCAGAACTCTTTAAAATGACATTAAAGCTCAGCATATTGTAGCTCAGCGTATTGTAGCTCAGCGTATTGTAGCTCACCATATTATAGCTCAGCATATTGTAGCTCAGCATATTGTACTTGAAAATCGCTTAAAAACAAGTAAAAAAAGGAAAAACAATGAACTTGTTTATACAAGCTGAGCTGAAAAAGTAATAGAAACTCTCTAGAATCTAGCAAAAACTCATAGAATTCTTTTTCAGGCTCCTCATGAAAGCCGAGATGCCGAGTTGCGGAAAGCGCTGTTTTGGGCGAGTCATTCAGGGGATCCGAATCGATCCGATCCTTTCCCCCATCCAGCTTACAGTCGCTTTCATGGTGCCTACGATAAGGATAAACGAAATCATAAATAACCTATTAGATTAGATGAAAAACTCAAGATAACACTAGTCATATCACACAAAAAAGCAGCTTTACTTCAAGGAATCTCACCATTACCCTATGTACATAAATAATCTTTACTTTCTCTTAATCCCAAAATCTTTAATCATAATTAACATTCACAATCAGTCACTTGCTTCGGGTATTTCAATAATATCTAGTTTTGTTTTATCTTTCATCTCCAAATTCAAACTAAAACGTTTTTTAAAAGGTGTCAATTTTGGGAAACTATCATAACCTTGCCTCAGTTTTTATCCAATCTATCTAATTCGAATTCTCTGAGCTCATAAAAGCTACAAAGTTTCTGGTAGATTAAGGTAGTTTCCACAATTGCCATCCACATTTTATCCAATCTATCTAATTCGAATTCTCTGAGCTCATAAAAGCTACAAAGTTTCCGGTAGATTAAGGTAGTTTCCGCAATTGCCATCCACATTTTATCCAATCTATCTAATTCGAATTCTCTGAGCTCATAAAAGCTACAAAGTTTCCGGTAGATTAAGGTAGTTTCCACAATTGCCATCCACATTTTATCCAATCTATCTAATTCGAATTCTCTGAGCTCATAAAAGCTACCAAGTTTCCGGTAGATTAAGGTAGTTTCCGCAATTGCCATGTTTTATAAAAGTGAAACAAATCACTCCAATAGTCACCATTTTTGCATTTAATAACATTTTTACATTTATTACTTGTAAATAAACTTTTTTTTTACACAGTAAACTCGAATTTGAAAGAAAATACGTGAATTTGAAAAGGGAAAAGACTCCGTGCAGGGTAGTGAACGTGTATATGCTTCGAAAATGATATGCTTCGAAACGTTTTGGGGAAAGAGTCATTTTCTGATCCAATTCGAGTTTACCGACATCTGCACTCGACATTTGTTGACAATCAATAAGAGATTTTCCAGGTTGTTCAAAGTTTCAAGTTTCGGCCATTGGCTTTCCGATCAAGCATGACTTGACCAGGAAAAATAGCTCGAGAAGCTCCCTGTACAAAGCCATAGTTTGAAACTGTTACAAAAGTTTGATGTAGAAATGTAAAGCAAAACATTATTTGTGAAAGAAAGGGAAAATTTTTGGGGAAAGAGTCATTTTCTGACTCAATTCGAGTTTTGAAAGAAAATCAAAGTTTCAGCATTTATCAAAGTCAAAAAAAATCAAAGTTTCAGTATAACCTAGAAACTAGACACCCTAGAAAGTTGAAGGCCGGGGAAATGCTGATTTGACAGGTAAGAGAGCTAAAGTTGCAGAGGTAAGAGGTAAGAGAGCAAAAGAAAAGTTGCAAAATTTGGGCGCCTACTCGAGAAATCGCATCTCAGTGATTTCTTCACTATTTAGGTAGAGTATTTTTGCGAGCTTTCTAAAACGAAACAGTCTAAACTTGAGCAAACATCACTGCAGTTTAATTCAGGGTTTTCTTTCCGCTTAAAACACTTTCACAGACAATAATATATTCTATTTTTCTTTCAAATATTGAATTTATTTGAATTGTATTTAGAGAAGTTCTAAATTAGAAGAAGGGAAGAGAATTGATCTGGAAATGGAAAAGAATTGATCGGCAATTCCAACGGCTTCTAACCCATCGTTGATGGGTTAGAAGATTCAATATTTGAAAGAAAAATAGATCGTTGATGGGTTAGAAGACCATTCCAGTTTTAGCTCTAGCTCAAAACAAAGATTGTCGCATTTTTTTTGATATTTTTATAGTTTAAGTCTTTATCACGTTTAAGATAATTGAAATGGAAGAGAAATAATAAATTTTAATTTGAAGTAAAGTGAAATGAGACTTCCGAAAGACGTCGCGAAGTCATTGCACACGAAGCGTTCGCTTCACTTCGTAAATTTTCTCTTCAACGCCTGCCCTTGTCCAATGGTCACTTTCGAGAATTGGCTTGAAACCTTGAAAAAGAATGAGGATTATATAGCAATAGATTAGACAAACAAACATTATACATAAATTACAATTCCTAGATTACAATTCCTAAACTACAATCCCTAAACTACAATCCCTAAATTACAATTCCTAAATTACAGTTCCTAAACTACAATTCCTAAATTACAATTCCTAAATGACAATTCCTAAATGACAATTCCTAAATTACAATTCCTAAATTACAATTCCTAAATTACAATTCCTAAATTACAGTCCCTAAATTACAATTCCTAAATTACAATTCCTAAATGACAATCCCTAAACTACAATCCCTAAATTACAATTCCTAAATTACAGTTCCTAAATTACAGTTCCTAAACTACAATTCCTAAATTACAATTCCAAAACTACAATTCCTAAATTACAGTTCCTAGATTACAGTTCCTAAACTACAATTCCTAAATTACAATTCCTAAATTACAATTCTTAAATTACAATTCTTAAATTACAATTCTTAAATTACAATTCCTAAATTACAATTCTTAAATTACAATCCCTAAATTACAATTCCTAAATTACAATTCTTAAATTACAATTCTTAAATTACAATTCTTAAATTACAATTCCTAAATGACAATTCCTAAATGACAATTCCTAAATGACAAACACTTTATCTAGAGAATAAAGAATGTGATTGTATTGATGTTGCAACTTTCGGCTCTTTCGGGTTATCGGTATACATTATAAGCTCAAAGCAAAGATTGTAACGTGACCTTTTGAAAAAATGATCATTTCCCAGCGATGAATTCGTTCGATTGGGTTACTTTTAGTATCAATCAATTCTTCCTGTTGAGATCTATCGATTGATGCCAAAAGTAGCTCAATCGGGTAATCTATTGCTGAGATTTTCGAGTCAGAAAATGATCATTTATGATGAGAACACAAAAAGGTTAATTTTTGGTGTAAAGGCGAACTTTTCACGTAGAATATGTTTTATTATCTTTTATTTTCAACTTACCATTCTCGACGAACACACGAACTTTCCACCAAAGGTCCTAATTTTGAGAATTTTTTTCTTTCCTTTACAAAAACAAACCTTCGTGACAAGAATACAAAATTCTTGTTGTAATCCAGTTTTCCCAAACTCGCGCAATTGAGGAAAAATGAGAATGAAATCCTTCTCAAAATCCTCAACTTGCTTCTTGAAATTTGTGCTCATTTTTGTAGTTAAGTAATACGAAAAAGACAAAAATGAAAAACGAATTTGAATGATTTCAAGAAGGAGCTTTTGCCCTTTTATAGCAAAGATAGGCGCCTCGTGTTTGGGTTTTGTTTTTCTTTTGCGCAAAAAAATTAAACAGCTTTGCATGTGACTTCGATTTTTGCAAGAGAAATGGAAAGCTCTTGGGTGAAATTTCAGAATGCTCAAATTGCACAAATCAACTTTCGCTTGTTTGTGTCATCGTTGGTGTCGCTCATAAAGGCTACGAAGTTTCCGGTAGATTAAGTTAGTTTCCGCAATTGCCATGTTTTAGAAAAGCTGAATATGGAAGTAAACTTGTCACTATTACGATTCATTTTTTGTCTAGGTGTTTGATTACATTTAGTTCCTGGACAAAACTGGGGGTAGGCTAATTTCCGCGATTTTTTTTGCGCAACGGAGTCATTTGCGTTTGCTGGGTCATTTGCTCAACTCGCCATAACTTTCTTCTAAGTCAGCGAATCTTTATGATGTTGGTGTCATTTTGTTGCACTTATTGAGATCTACAAAGATCAAGATTTGTATTTTATTTGAACTAAATAGTCACACTTGAGAATGCCCTGGAAAAGTTACCGTAACCATCGATTTCTGTTTTCTAAACGGCGCCCTTTTCCGTCGCGTCTTTGTCTTTATAAAATCGGGCTAGGCTAATTTCCGCCATTTTATTTGCGCAACTTGCCATAACTTTCTTCTAAGTCAGCCAATCTTTATGATGTTGGTGTCATTTTGTAGATCTCAATAAGTGCAACAAAATGAAATTAACATCAGAAAGATTGGCTGACTTAGAAAAAAGTTATGGCGAGTTGCGCAAACGACCCACGACGCAAACGACCCAGCAAACGCAAATGACTCTGTTGCGCAAAAAAATTGCGGTAATTAGCTTACCCCCAAAACTGATAACGAATTATTTGCAATATAAGATTGTAATTAACTTTTCTGGTAATAAATTTCTTGTATTTTCTCATGAAATTCTTGAAAAACACAACAAAAATTGATTGGTGACATTGAACTTTTCCAGAAAAAGACAATGTAAATTTTGCGAGCAACACTAAAAAAAATCTTGCAAGCGGTTGCAGGCCTCAAAAGAAAGTTTACCGTTTTTAAAACTTTATTTATCTCGGTACTACAGGGTGGCTGAAAATTACGTGCGCGCAGCATCTGACATAGTTTTAAACAATGTATAAAGCATTACTACTCATATGGAACTAAACGGTCCCAATACGGTTCTTTTTTTGATCTAATACGGTTCCGATACAGTTCCAATACGGTTCCGATACGGTTCCAATCCGGTTCTAATACGGTCCCAATACGGTTCTTTTTTTGATCTAATACGGTTCCGATACGGTTCCAATACGGTTCCGATACGGTTCCAATACGGTTCCAATACGGTCCCAATACGGTTCTTTTTTTGATCTAATACGGTTCCGATACAGTTCCAATACGGTTCCAATACGGTTCCAATACGGTTCCAATACCGTTCCGATACGGTTCCAATACGGTTCCGATACGGTTCCAATACGGTTCTTTTTTTGTTCCAATACGGTTCCAATACGGTTCCAATACGGTTCCGATACGGTTCCAATACGGTTCCGATACGGTTCCAATACGGTTCCAATACCGTTCCGATACGGTTCCAATCCGGTTCTAACTTGTCCCTATTTAATACGATTCATTTTTTTGTCTAAGTGTGTGATTACATTTAGTTCCTGGACGAAACTGATAACGAATTGTTTGCAATATAAGATTGTAATACACTCTTCTGGTAATAAATTTCTTGTATTTTCTCATGAAATTTTTGAAAAACACAACAAAAATTGATTGGTGACATTGAACGAAAGTTTCCTAAAAAGATAATGTGAATTTTGGGGACACAATCTTGAAGTCTTGAAGAACAAAAAAATCTTGAAGACATTGGAACTTTTAGAACAGAAATCAGAACTAAAAGTTAACGTTTTTCAAACTCAACATTGCCCGATTTCAACACAAGTCGAGTGTGCATCTTTGCCTAGAATTGGATACATTTGAAACTGATGACTTTGTTTCAAAAGCTCTTCTCACCGGCTTTAAAATCATTGTAAATGATGTCAATGTTGGGATAGGTGAAACCAATACATTTTTGCACCGTCTCCCGGTCATATGTCGCCTCCAAGCTGTTGCAGGCCTTAAAAGAAATTTTACCATAACAGTTTACCATAAAATTTTTATAGAAATTTTAGAAATTAAGACAAAATTGGCAATTGCCGGTACTTTTCCAATATCGGGGGAGCGGTCCGATTATCGGGGGAGCGAAAGGAAAATCGGGGGAGCAAATTTTGCTCCCTCGAAAAATGCATTTCCGGGACTATATTTTAACTGCAACGTTTTTTTTTCAAACTTTAACGACGATGCGCTTCTCCGATATTTGTGCGTTCAAGGAATCGGCGGCAATCGATTATTTCGTCACCAAAGGACGTCACCAGTCGTCACCAAAGGACGTCATCCAGTCGTGGATTTGCAATTGTGGCGAATCGATGAAAGTCCGCTCAAAGGGAAAAGATCTATTTCGCTAATATAAATCTAATATAAAGGTTGTGAGAATAACGGGTAATTCGCGGATTTTATGGCGGTAGTTTTTATAATATAGGACATATGTAGCGCTGCCTTTTTTGCTCCCCCGATTTTCCTTTCGCTCCCCCGATATTGGAAAAGAACCCAATTGCCAATCACCGTTTTCAAAAATGAACAAAGACAAGAAAAAGAATTTGATTACTATTGTTTGAGAAGAGGCAAGCAGGGAAAAGCTAAAGAAAAGAGTTAGAAACGATCAAAATTGAAAGATTGACACAAAGTGAATCAGCTACATAACTGGAAAAGAGGGAAAGTTAGAGAGATTTTGGCCGGATGTCTGAAGAAATTCATAAAGCCTATTAGATGGACAGGGTTACTGTAGCAGGTCATTGTTATCGAAATTTGCAAAATGCAAAATGCAAATCAAGCCTACAATCTATCTCAATATTCACAATCTATTCTAACATCTATTTATTACAACAGAGATTGTGTTTACAGTTTACAACACAGATTGTATTCAGATGTTTCTAAGAGTCAGCAGAGTCAGCAGTCGCTCTAGATTACAGCCAAGTTAGCCAAGTTTTGGATGGAATTGAAGTTCGACTCTAACCACAGCTTTGGTTGTGTAAAAATTGATGAATTTGAAAGATTATCAAGCTAGAATATGGTTTTTAAAGGAACTACTTTGTTAATTAAATGTTAATAGATAGTTTTTGAAAAACATTCTCACCAGTAATAGTTCTTTCAACAACTCATTCTCAGCATAATCCTTTTGCAAATTCCGAGCCGCTTCTTGCAAGATTTGTTCACAGATTTGACACGAATCGGTTTCCTAAACTTGTAACTTGTTTAGATTTAATAGATTTAATAGATCATTTAATAGATTGCTTAATAGTAGATTTCATAGATAGATTCAAGAAGTATTTGCTTTGATTTTTCTTTTGAAAAAGCATCTTTTTACAAAACCTACCGATGAGATGACAACCATTAGGACAATAGTCAGAAAAGAGTAAATGAGTGTATTCATTTTTCAAATCCTTATACTTATAGAAAACTTGAAGTTGATTATAGAAGTGTATAGATAAACTAGCTTTTCTAGACTGTTGTACAAAAATTCGAACAGGCCGGAAAGTGTTATCTTTGCTTGAGGTTGCTGGAGAGTAAATAAAAGCAAACAAAAGACAGGGAAAGATTCGAAAAATGATATGGAAACATTCTGAATGAAAACTAATAAACTCAACCGAAAATTTATCTCTGACAACCTAGAAAGTTCAAGGCCGAGAAAATGTAAGATAAAGTAAGAGAGCAAAATAGCAAAAGCAAACTGTGGAGGAATTTTTGGAGAGGTAGCCGATGGCGATATCCCAAAGGAGAAACCCAAAGGAGACCTCCGAAAAACAATTTTACCATTGAAAAAGTGCTTCTCCGGACTTTAAAAATGGTTAAAAATGGTTTAAAAATGGCCCGAGAGGGGGTCATAAAAAGCAGAATTTTTTGTGAAGCGCCCGGCCAGCACCACGGCCGCCCGGCCAGCCAGACTTTAGTGGCTAACAAATCTTTAGTGACTTTAGTGGCTAACAAATCAGGTACCGAGAGAACAATACTTGTAAAAATCCCATGGTGCGGTGCATTGGTACGTTGGTTGGCAGGATAAACCATGGTAAGGCGCGGCTCCCGGTAGAACCTAGCCGAATGACCCCTCTGCTGCCACGGTTGACTGGGGGCGACGTAGGGTGATTTTTGAATTCCCCCCGGTAGCCAGAGCTGGGAATTACCCAATTTTGAAATGATAAAAAATGAAAATTGGGATTTTGTTTCTATTCTCGATCTTTGTGGTCTCTTGCAGACAAACAGCTTTCAATGCATAAACGACGAATGTAAACAGTAAAAGTTAAATTCTTTTTACTGATAAGCGCCCCGGTCAATTGGAGTTTTTTTGCATCATAAATCGGTGTGCTTTAAAAACGACAAAACAATTTGATGAGCAGAAAGCTATTCATTCTACAGTTTAAAAATGCTGCCGATGGAGACAAGCCTAAAGGATCACAACGGATTTTCAAAAAGCAAGCGGCTAGAAATGGGGGTCTATTTCACTTCTTTCCTAGTTTCAGGCCTTTTTTTCATTGTTAAGATGGCAAATTCGTAACTTTTTCTAGACTTTTCCCCTTTTGATTAGAATATACACACATATGATTTGGATATTCAACTCATTTCTCCACAAGGGAACGTTGAAATCACTTGGGATTAGCCTGAGAATGTAGAATGTAGGAATGTTGAACTAAACTGTTTTCAGTCATTTTCTTGTCCGTCGTTTTGGTCAGCCGGTGGTGTGCTGACATTTCGTTGTGTCTAAATCCTTCTTGCTAGCAAACATTATACATTAACCAATCAATAAAGCGTTTTTTCATTTTGAAAAAACAATTTTGATCTTAGATAAATCAAGTTCTAATAAAAACACCTCGGAGGGAGAATCCCAAAGGAGACCTCCGAAAAACAATTTTACCATTAAAAAAGTGAACTTTTCCGGACTTTTCAAAAATTCACGATCTGGCACACTGCCCGAGAGGGGGGCATAAAAAGCAGAATTTTTTTCAATTTCCAGTTTTGCGTTCTTACAGACAAACAGTACAAGTTGAAGTCTTTTTACTGATAAGCGTCCCGGTCAATTGGATATTTTTGAATCATAAATCGGTGTGCTTTAAAAAGACAAAACAATTTGATGGGCAGAAATCTATTCATTATACAGTTTTAGCGATCGTCATCGTAGTACTCAAAAACAGAACTCAAATGCAGAACAGAATATAGACAAACAAAAACGTAAAAGACGAGAATGCGGCATTTTGCTTGGTATTCTACTTGGTTCATTCTTTGGTTCGGGTCCATTCATTTAGATTCCTTTTTTCGAAAGTAAATTTTATTCTCAAACATCAACAAGATGTGTTTATTCTCAACAAAGTTGCACAAGGATTTAACAGGAACATGAAAAAAGATAGCTTTTTTGAAGGTATTGGATAATTTTTTGGGAAAGGAGAAATTTTTTTCATTCTGTCTGAAAACGGAAAAAGTACTTCAAACAACGCAAAACAACAAAGCTTGTTTGGTGTTTTTCAATCGTTTTCGTTTTTAATCGAAGAATTTCTGTTATTGCTATAAATCTAGGAGCTCAATACCAAGCTGACTTTTATTTCTTGACATTCGTATCTTCCGAAACGTACAGAAAACGGAAAAAGTACTTCAAACAACGCAAAAAAACAAAGCTCGTTTGGTGTTTTTCAATCGTTTTCACAACAAGTACAAAAGTACAATGAGATTTGTTCTCAATGAGATTCAAAATTCGACAATATAGATAGATAAATGATAAAAACCGGTACTTGTCATTCTCTCTGAAGGTCATTCTCGACTATTATCTATTTCAATGCTATTACACAAACCAAGAAAAGAAAAGTTTTAAAGAGGGAATTTGAATTGAGTTAAAATGATTTCGAAAACGAATAGATTGACAAAAAGATAGATAGAAAAACGAGGAAAAAGTGAGGAAAAGCTTGGGCGGCTGAGTTTTGCTTATCGGTAACGACTTGGGTTTTTCGGATGTCTCTCGGATCTCTCATTATGTGCACTCGCACAAGACAGCCCTCCTGTTGGCGGAGGCTTGGCTGCGGTGTCTCGATGAGAGTCCACACGAACTAAACCTCGAAATGATTTGTGAATTGATCCGAGAATGCTCACACTAGCCAGATTTGCACCATAGATCGTTTTGTTGAATGCTTTTCTCGGATTATCTACACTCCAGACGATCCTGCAATGAGAAAGTTTCAACTGATTTGCCCATCTCTATCATATCTCACTTTTCGTGCGCTAAAATAGTTGACGTTGAGGTGAAATCAATGACAAGCACTCCACTGACTATCTCAACAAATTCCAACGTGAAAACAACAGGCCAAGCACCTAGGGAGATTATTGATTGTTGAGTGATCTTGCTGTGGTGATGATGGTCTACAAGGTCTACAAGGGCTACAAGTTGCAACAAAGAGTACTAATGCTGTGAAATCTTACCACAATGCAGTTCTTTATGCAGCTCATACGGATTGAACACGTTGTTTACATCATAAGGATCATAATGGTAGGTCATTTCGTCACCGAATTGATGAAATCCCTGCGTGGCTAGGGCGACTGTTCCATGGCAAATCTCATGCTGTCCGATGTAGCCTATCAATGGGAATTGCCACCATTAAACATTGCAATAAACTCCACCATCAGGGGCATTGTATGATTTGACGGATAGGCTAGGCGCACATCCGACCGGCACGAGAACACTGTAGACCTTGGCTTCGAGGGGTTGTGGAATGAATGGCTGATCGTCGCTAGAGATTATTATTGAAACATTTTAGCTTGCTAGCAATTGAAAACAATAAACTCAATAAACAAATAAACACCAATAACAATATGTGAACCAATGAACCAATAACAATATGTGGTTGACCTGAAAGTGAGCAAATGTCGATCCGAATATTTCCCATTGTATGGTGGGGGCCCGATGATGAAGTCGTATCGACACGTCGAGTCACCGCGTTTCTGCAAAAAATTGCACTCTTTTATGGGATGGTTTCAGGGAAAGATGCAGAAAGCGCAGACCGAATTGAGCTCCTCCAGCGTGATGACCGCTCCTTCGTATTGCAACAGGACGAAAGCCACCCAAAGTGGCGATTCGTGATCTCCCTCTAATCGGTAGCTCATCCAAGTCTCGAGCCCTTCTTCATAATCGGCTGTTCCGGGTTCACTCATAAAGTTCGGAGCGGCCAAGAAGAATTGCGTCGAATCTGATGGGGCTCAGATCGGATTTTTTGGTTTCTGTTAAAGCATGTGTTGTTTACTAACAAGATAGCAACAAGATAACAAGATTGTAAGTAAGATAGCAGTGCATCTTACTCATCCGTTAAACTTCTAAATGATCCAAAGTGGCAAAAACCTTGAATGCTCAGTCCAGAGAATGATTTCTAGCAAGGTAAAGTTATCCTCACCTCACCGGTAAAGCCGTAATGGCTTAATGATGGCTTAATATGATGAGCGGATGATTGTATGCAATTATGCGATTCATAACGGACAAAGATCAAAACGCTTATCAAAGCGCTTATCAAAGCTCTCATCAAAGCTCTTATCAAAGCTCTCATCAAAGCTCTCATCAAAGCTCTTATCAAAGCTCTCATCAAAACCCTTATCCACAGCTCTTTTCATACAAACCATCGATCCATTCGACGATTCGAAAGGCGAAAATCGAATTGACGAGCCGCGGCGGATGCTCGTAGATTCGCATTGTCACCCTTGAGTTGGGAATGAGAAATTGGCAATTCTGACGAGCTCCTCCCGTTTTCGGATCCTTGCTAAAGACGAAATTGTTCTAATTAAGCACATCGATGATACGCATAAAAAGAGAAATCGATTCATGAAACAGAAACAGAATTAACATAATTAACAGAATTGCAACGAATTACCTCCACGTACAATTGTTGAAATGAAATTGCCGATTGTTGAACATAATCGCCGTCTTATTTTGGCATCCATCAGTTGGCTGAAAGGATTTTTCCCTTTCCATTTCCTTTCCTTTCCCTTTCCTTCTCACTTCTCCCATTCACTTACACTAATTATCGTTTCACAATATTCCAAAACGTCGACAATAAATGAACAACCCAAGCATTCGTCGGCATCAATACATAGTGGCATATCTCGAAGACCGTTCACTGAATATAGAGGGAAATAAATGGGGAAATATCATTTTCCTCACATTGTAGCGCTTTCCCCGATAATACAAGAACCGGGTCACCTTTTTTGTAATAAATCGTCTCATTTTGCCAGCATTGCAACTCTTTATACTCGGTGTTGGAAGGCTCGAACTTGAGCACAAATCCCTTTACGGGAGCGTCTCTATCCGCGGTGAAATAAGCCTGTATAAAATTAGAAATGTTTCCAAAGACTGGCTGAAATAACTGAAAC